AAAAAAAAAATATTTCTTGTCTTCTTAAGGATAGTTAATGTAATAAATAAATGAGAGGAAAAGATTGTATACGTATATATTCATCTATTTTTTTCTTTCTTTTTTCTCTCTACATTCTCAGAAAGCAAAGATAGACAAAGAAAAGAACGAACGTTTCATCCAAATTTGTTTCTTTTCGACATTGAGATTTCTCATTAACAGTTTATCACTAACTATATAAATCAAAACATATTTATATTTGTTTATTTTTATTAATTAATAAATTGAATAAATTTTTCATAAATTAGTTTAAATTATATACATATATATATATATATATAAACGGGCACTTTCTTTTGTTAGAAGACTGACTAGTTGAGTACGATGTTATGTTTTGGTGTTCGAAATAAGAATGGCTATGAGTGAGTATATATTATTATCATTACTGTTGTGTTAACAACTCTTAAAATCAATTTATATTTTGTAATTTAAAAAAATTATTTTTAATTAAGAAAGTTTCTCTAAAAGTATTATTTTAAAAGTATAATAAAATTCTTTATAAAATAATCTCTTAACTATGGAGAAATTAATTTTCTTACAAACATTACAAACTTTTAGACATCCATCCTTCTTTGATTTTATTCATTCTAAGAAGATGTCAAACTATTTCCTATTATTTTCTTTATAAGTCATAAGTCACACGTACATTAGAGTATTGATAGAAATAACCTCAATATCATTCTATTGTGTTGAATAAATGAAAATTTAATGTATCATCAACTTATGATGACAAATAATTGACTCTATCGATCAATCGATCTATCTATCGATGATGCAATTTTCTTCATTTCTTTTTTTTGTTGTTGTTGTTATTCTAATTTTATGAGGGAAAAAATTAGATTTATGACATATAACTTGTCTTCAAATAAAGCGCTCTATTCTTTTCATTTTATGTCCATGTCAAGTATCTTTTCCTTGAGTTTTGAAATTTGTCCTTGTTTTTAGCAACTTTAAGATAATTTGGAAGGTTCTTTTTATTCTAATAGATATTACATCAATTTCGTTCTTCTTCATTGAATAATCATAATAAGACAAGAATAATCTTAGATAAAAACGAGAAAACTTATTGTAGAATTTTCTTACTGAACAAAACTTTTTTAAAAGAAGTTCTAAGGTAAGAGTGAATTATATCTAACCAAAACAAAAGACTATCTACTATGAATCAATAAATAGGAGTCATTTTAAGAAAAGTAATTAATTTTCTTTTTAAAATTTTAGAAAACTCTTTCTTTGTATTTAGTGGATAGGATCAATATGATAATTCTCTTTATAGTGTCAAAAAATATTTTTCTGTCAAATTATCTGATCTTTTTTTAGTTTAGAGACATCGATCATAGGTCTAAAAATTTTTTTCAGTCACGATAAAAAAATCTTAACACACACACACATACACAAGTTTATCAATCTCTATCATTTGCAAGACAATTGTTCATTGTCTTAAATAAACATTAAATTGACATGGAAGCAAGAGAAAATAAAAGAAAACTTTTTTTTTTTGATGGATGAAGATGTTTGTACTACTAAACATTTAGATGTTAGTTGAATCTTTTTAACGTAAGTGACTTACTTCCGATTGTTTTTGTTTTAGTTTTTTTATTTTTATAGACGATTGATATGTGCAAACTAGGATGATAGATGATAAACTTTATTACATGAACAAAATTAGAGTTTTTACAATAGTTTTTCAAAATTAAAAAAAATTGATCGCAAAAAAAAATGATGTGTAGACATATATGTACAGTCTAAAGAATATATTTTAAGAGCACACGATGATTAATCCATCTATTTAATTTCAAAGAAATAAAAGAAGTCCAACGTCCGCTTATTATTAGTTTTTTCTTTCTTTTATTTTGACAAGTACACTCATTTCATTGTCATCAATTCATCTAACTATCGAGTGAAAGATGCGTTTAACAATTTTTCATGGCATCAGGATGTGAAGAAAAAAACCGACAAATACAAAAAAAAATCGTTATTGTTCTAACTTCATGTTACTTGATCTCAATTCTTTTTCTTTGTATAAAACTGGAAAATAGATCATCTATGAACGTGAAGTAGTAAATTATTTTATCATCATTAAATTGCTTTTAAATAGGACAATTAGTTAATTTAATCTCTCCTTATGGTTTCTGTTATCTGACATTGATACGTTAAACTCAATTATTCTACGTTTTTAATCATCGATAGTGACCAAGAATAATAGAATTTTAAAAATTTCTACTAAATATTTTTGCAATTGGTTGATATCAGCTCATATTTTCGAGTCTTAATTTAAATATTATTTTTATTCTTAAATTTGATAGGTGAGTTATTAGGTACCAAAATCATTTCTTTTTAATAAAGAAAATATAAACTAAATGATATATTTTTAGTGAAAAATTTAATACACGTAAGTGTTATTTGAAGTGAAGTCTGTGATATTTATATATTGACTACTATCTGTTATGAAAACGTTTCGTAGTTTCTTTCCAGTCATTCAATTATTCCAACTAAATTGTATTAGTAACGACAAATATTGAGTGTTTCACAACATTCAGAGAGAAATATGCTTGAATTATTTATTCGAATAAATAATCATTGAACATAATAGAATTTTTAATAGAAAAATTTATTTAAAAATATCGCTAAATAATAAAGTTGGACAACGATTTACTTTTACTTCACTTCTTTTTCAAAACGTTTTTTTACTATTATCATAGTAGTCGAAAAATGATTATCTTATGAAATTGAAGATAAATTTTAAAAGTGTCAGTTTCATCACACTACGAACAAAAGAGAAAATCACTGTTACCGACGCTGATATAATCGGTACATATAATATTGCTGAGTAGATATATCAGATTAAAACTTCTTACACACAATTTTCTTCTCTAATATACACGTGCATAACAAGAAATGAAAAAAGTGTTAAAAAAAAATAAAGTAACCGAATCAGGTGAAGTTAATTGTTCGGCTCTGTTGTTGATACTTTTAGAATAATAGCTCCTCTTCAGCCAAAAATATGCACACAATTTATTTATAGATGTGTTGTATTTGTCAGTCGGTGTTTGAGATTGTATTGTACAATATCAATTAATCTTTTATTTAGCTTCTAGTGGCGTGAACAACTGTATATAAATATATGTACAACGTTGGTAGTTAATAATGGTGCTTTTTAATCAGATATAATTCAAGGAACATGTCGTATTTATATTAGCAATTTCCATTGAGATTTATACTAATTAGCGAATGTGTACAAATTGACTATATGCGAAGAACATTTACAAAACTAACCTTGGATTGTCTTTAAACAATTTTCATCAAGAGTTCTTGAATAGATCAATATGAATTATTAGAAACTTTTGTCTAATCCCAATTTAGAAGGGGGAGAAACAGTGAAAATTCATTTTAGTATAGCAAGGTGAGTGTAGTCAATGTTCATCACGTATTAACACCAGAAATGCAATGAGAAAAAAAAAAAAGTGTTTTTTAAAACAGATTTTTCTATCGTTAAGTACTAATGGTAATTATGTATGAGTATGGGCGGAGTCTATTGTAATGCCATTTTTCTATTCTGCCCACATCATTCATAATCACCTCTGTTAAGCATCCTTAATGCATATCAGTCTACTACTTTATCATTTAGAGGTAATTAATCGGCCTCAGAATAATAATAGTCATACAATACTTATCAACCTTCACCTCTACATTTCTTATGTATATATAGAAGACATTAACAGAAAATAGATTGCTCTTGATAGATTGTTGTATCATGCGATGTTCTGTGAGAGAAAATTCTTCTGTTTTGTATATAGATGCAATAATATACATAATGTCTATCATTCAAATATTAGATCACATTGTTTTAGAGTGATTTTTCTAATAATAGTAATCGATCATATCAAGAGGTGATTTTCGATTACATTTGTTTTGATGTTATTACATCAGCAACAAGACAGATTGAGAATTGTACATTGTGTCACTCTAATAAGATGTACAAAAAAAAAAAGAACAACAATAACATGTTTTTTTTGGGCAAAAGCAATTGTGCATGATCTTATACATTCATAAAAAGATAACACGAAAAAAATTATCTGAAAATAAACAAATGTCTAATTTGGCTATGTTATTATTTATGAAAATAAATATTTGATTAATTTCATCATATGAATTTTTTAAGTTATTTTTCTACTAACCAAAATGTTTATAGTAAAGTTGTCATAATGATAAATTATTCATACAAATGAACTTTAATTGGATAATACTGTTTTTAGTGTATCAATTATAAAAAAAATGAAGGATAAAGAATATATATGTATTCATAATCTAATATGACATGTTTCTTAATTATTTACCAAGGATATATTTAATGCAACTCAAAATAAAGAGATAACGGGATCTTTTGTTCAAAAGAAAGAAAAATAGGAAAATGAACATTGCCGGAAGGAGAAAACGCGTATAAAATAAATATTTCTTTTTCAGTTAACAACTGGAAAAAAAAAAAGAAGTTTTTCTATGAAGACTTAAAAAATCAATTAGTAATAGCAACAAGATATTTTCAAATTTGACTAAAAAATGTCGGATATAAAAATTAAGAACACTACTAGCAAACAAGCAAAAATTTCATTATAGAATTGATATGGTGTTGAACAGAAACTTTTAATAAAACATGAAAGGGTAATATCATTAGAATTAGATAAAAAATTTATTTGATAATGGTCAGATCACGTTCTTAATATCTTACATTTCTAGACAAATAATGTTTATTATTACACTCTGATCTTTGATCTGTAAATATAATGTGAAATGTGTCTACATACGATTCACTCTCTGTCTTTTTTGCTTTCTAAAAAATTCTAGTTTACATTCTGAATTTGTGATCTGGAATGTGCGCATTAATCTAATAAATAATAATAATTCATATATGAAGTCTAGATGCATGAACATCATTCTTAATATGTTTCATCTTTATTTTCTTTAGAATGGCATCATTGCATCAAGCGGCGTTAGCCGGTTCCGTTGACATATTAAAATTACTGCTTGATCATGGAGCATCAGCGAATTCGAAAGATCAGAAAGGTATGTTAGAAGAAAATGTCAAATTTTATGAGTTTCACATTGTAGTTATCTAAGATAATAATGATTGATGATATTTTACATATATATATATATATATATATATATATCTAAATTAATAATAATATTAGAAGATAATGTATTTAATTAACAACGTGAATGTCTCCAAAGCATTTTATAACCATTCATGTTGATCATCATATATACTGAATCTTTTTTTTTTAGACGGTTGGAAATGTTAGAAATAATTCACATAAGAAGCAATATAAATAAAATTCAACATTTTTTCTTTGAACTACAATTCTTATTGAAAACTGAATAAATGTTTTTAGTTAAAATGAAAAGTTTTATTGAAAAAAACGCGTAACGCTGTTACATAAAAAGATCCTATATTCGGAGTGCTCTTGCTAAAGTTCTAATTTCCTGCGAAAGTCGTTCTCCAAATGAAATGCTCCTAGAGCAAATTTTGTGGAGCATCGAACGAGCTTTTCAGCGGTAAAAAAAATTTTCTTCTAACTATTTTTACTCACGTAAAAAAAGCAAAAAAAAAACGTAACGCTGTTATACATTTTTTTGTCACATCATTTTAGAGCACTCAACGTTCTTGAAACAACTTCATACTTATAGCTTGAGCACTTCTAGCCTTCCTGAAGATACTCCACTTACAAACAAAGTTCCAAAAGGTGCCTCAGGCTTTTAAGGCCCAGCCCCCACACAAAAATCCATTTCTGCTTACGAGCATCCGATCTTAATGAAACTTTCAGAGATGGTGTATCTAGGTATGATGACCTCACAGTAAAAATTTCAGCTCGAAATATTAAACTTATCAAGAGCTAGCTCACAATTAAGGTCCAAAAATGGGTCTTCGTCCATCCCAGATTTCTCTGCCATTTTTAACGTTAGAGAGATCGGGTTGGTTTTAAAATGTAGCTAAGATGTAGGGCTACAACTTAACAGAGGCCGATTTTTTAATTTCTCTGTAGTTCATTTTTTATAGAACTTTTACGTCATGATATGAAATTACTGGGATGTAGGATTTCAAACATTTTCCCTTCATCTGACGTCAATTCTGAAATCGAAGAATCAGGCTCTGTTAAGTTGTAGTGGCAGGTCTTAGCTATGATTTAAAACAACCCCGAGCTTTCTAGCTTTCAAAATGGCGGAGAAATTTGGGACGCACAAAAACGTAAAACCAAAAAATCTCATTTTCAGAAAAACCTGTGTGAAACCCTTAAAACCTATCGTAAAATTAAGAAACTACAGTGTATTCGATAGCGGACGTGATGCTCTATCAAATACGCTATTTTAAAAAAAATCGATAAATTCACCAAGATAATCTTTTTCTGAGTGGGGGGTGGGCCTTAGTCAAGAGTTCAAACTTGCAAGCAGCCCTTGTGCCTCGATTGAGAAATATTTCTCAAATTAAAACAAGCCATTTTGTAGTGAATTGAATTCTCTATTCGACAGTGTATGTTTAAAATTATTTTGCGAAAATCTCTCGATCAGAAAATTAAAATTAAAGTTTTCAAAAATTTTAAATTTAAATTTTTTAATTGAAAATTCTGTTTTGTTTTCAAAATAAAGGCCGAATTCGTGATCAGCATGAAAAACTACGTCTGGCGATGGGCTCCTATCGATTTCTCGATGAAAAAAAACTTGATCAGCGAAGTGTCGCGTTACGTGGACAAGCCGTCATACGGCCCTTGAACGAGGATCTGTGAAAAATCGGCCTTTACAGACCCATTTTAAAATGCTAGATGAAGAAATTTTAATCTGTCTATTTTATCGAGAAATTTTACTCCAGAAAAAATTGTCAAAAAGTCAAAGTTTTGTGATAATGTCGACTTTTAACTTGAACATAGCTAAAACTCAATCTCTAGACCTGAAACATTTTCTTAATTCTTTATGCTCTAAAAAGAGAGATAGATCAAAATTTTTTCATCTAGGATGTTAAGATGGATGTCTAAAGGCTGATTTTCACAGGACCGTATGGTCACAAATAAATATTAGATTCATGATCAGTATCAAAAATTATCTATCACCATGTATATTTTAAAGAAATAATAGTAATACTCGCTCTTGTTGGCGTACACTCGAGTGATGTAGTTCTATCGGAAACTACAAGCATCTCTCTACTATTTAATATGCCACTTCAATAGTAAATTGCTTAGTGATAACTACATGTGTTTTAATTACAAATTGTAGATTCTATGAGTGAAATAAGGTGAATGATAGATTTTCACTAATATCTGTGTATCTATTGTTTTATACAATGTAAATAACTGATTTTTGTTTCTTAAGGCCTTCGTCCACTACATTATGCCTCGTGGCAAGGAAGAACAGAACCAGTTTTTCTTTTATTGAGAAGTGGTGCTAATGTAAATGAACAGTGTATTAGTGGTGATACAGCATTGCATCTAGCTGCACAATATGGACATAATGATGTTGTAAGTTAAAATCTCAAAATTATTATCTTCTCTATTTTTCTTTTAAATTTATTACTTCGTTTAGGTTCAGTTATTACTATTTCATCAAGCTGATCCAACAATCTTAAATCGTCGTAATCTGACACCAATTGATTTAGCAAGTGAAAATGGACGATGTCAAGTTGTTAACTCATTATTACAAAATCATTTATGCTTGCGTATGTTAAATTCGACTACTACTCTCAATCATAATAATAACAATAATTTGACAAATGAAAATGATAATTTGCAACAGTCACAATCAAATTGTTTACATCTAGCAGCTAAAAATGGCCATTCAGATATCATACGCCTATTACTTTTAAATGGAATAGATATAAATAAAACAACCGCACAAGGAACAGCATTACATGAAGCAGGAAGAAATGGAAGATACGAAGCGGCAAAAGTTTTATTAGAAGTATGATCCTTGATTATAGAGTTTTTGAAAAAAACGTCTTCTCTCTATTTTATAGTGTAGAATTGACATTAATATTTGTAATTCTTATGAACAAACTGCCTATGAAGTTGTTATCAAACAAAAACCTGGCAATGATATTAAACGCTTAATAAAAGGTAAATAACTCACTTTTTTTTCACTTATTTATAAATCATCTAAATATTTGTTTTGCCTTTGTCTAGAATTTAGTGATGCTTTAACTGTTCGTGCCATTTGTTCTTATAATGATAATCATGCTGGAGCATTAAATTTTCTAGAAGGCGATCACATCACGGTAGAGATAAACACTTTTCTACATTGATAAAATTCATTCGATGAGATTATTCTTTATGTTTTCAGGTACTTGAACGAAATCCAAGTGGAGAATGGAGAGGATTCATTTTAAAAGAAAACTTGACAACTCGAATTGGATATTTTCCTAGTACACATGTACAATTAATCGATCGACAACTAGATCGTTCAAGTAAGAGCAATAGTCTTTGTTTAATACTATGCATGATACATCATTAGTGTGTATGTGCTATGTGAATCTGTTTGTGCATGTAACCGTTGAGACGTAACTTTAAGTTGTGATATCGAAAGAAAGATGGGAACATGATTGTCACAGTAACTATTTTGCTTAGTCTAAACAAGAAGCATGATGGTTTATCGTTTTGTCTTGTTGTTTGTTTGTGCTTGTGCTTCTCTTAGGTTTAACAAACACCAATTATTTTAATCAACGTTGTAATAATGATGTTATACAACAACATTCGAATGATTTTTTATTAGCTACTGCCTCTTTATTCACTTCTCCCTCTTCACATACAAGCAAACTATTTTCAACTAGTAACGTTGTATTGAGACATCGAACAAGTAATTTTTTTTCTATGTTAAATTATTCTATCTGAATCTAAATACTATTGCCGTTTCTTCTAGATCTGATTAAAGGAACAATAAAGAAAAATGAAACTTTGTCAGCTCAACAGTCGAACAGTAATGGCAAGAGCAACAATAACTCTGGGTTATTAAATGGTGACTGGTCACCGGTCGATAGTCTTGATTCAATGTCACGGATGTCCCAAGCAGATTCGGGCTTAGCAACGTCATCCTATCGCTCACGTCGAGGTAGTCCAAACAGTAGTTGTCGTCATTCAACAGCCAGTAGTATTGATAGTGGAAGAAGTTCAACAGCTATGTCAATTGTTTATGATAGTCCAAAAGTAAGAGAAAACATATATTCTAGTCCAAAATCTACTTTTTTTCTTGTTTAGCCTCCTGCGCTGGCTAGTTTTATGGCAATAAATATTCCGTTGTCTTACAATACCATTACTAATTTATCAAATGGAACAATGACCACAATAAACGATACACGTTCCGTTTGTAGCAGTGAATCAAGATCATCAGATCAAGACAAAGCGAGCTTTCGTAGTTCAAATAGTAGTCTTGATCGACTCGATGAATCTTTGACAATAAACCATAATACAAATTTAAACAATTTGATACAGAACGGTATTCCTGTAAGTCAAATGATTTCGATCGATTAAATAACTTTTAATCATTCATTTTTTTCGTACATTTAGGAGAATGAAGTAGTTCTAACTTGGCTTCGAGATTTTTCTTACGAACATTATTATGAAAATTTTATTGCCAATGGTTACGATATACACACAATAACACGAATGACACCTGAAGTATGTTTTAAACGAGGATTTACTGAACAGAATAATGTCTTCTTTATTTCTCTTAAGGATTTAACTGCTATTGGTATTACCCATCCATCTCATCGACGAAAAATTAAAAATGAAATTGGAAAATTACGTGTTGGAGATCGACTACCTGATTATAAACCTGTAAGATTAGTGAGAAAGTTAAAGTTTTAGGCAAACGTTAAAGTTTAGTAAAACAAAAAAAAATTGTAGAAGAGTAGAGCTGAATTTATGAACGATTTCTTTACATTATGCACTGATTTTTATTCTTTAGGATACTGTCTATGACTGGCTTTGTCTTCTACATTTAAATGACTATATTAAATTACTATATGATCAAAATTATAAGCAAATTGATGATGTGACAAATATGGCATGGGAAGATTTAGAAGATATAGGAATTACACAATTGGGTATGAAAATTACCTAGATAGGTAGACTATTGAGTACAGTTATCATTCTTTTGTTTTAGGCCATCAAAAGCGATTTATGCTTGGAGTGAAGAGATTACAAGATATCAAAAAAGGATTGTATCAATCTAACAGTAACAACAATGTACCTTCGCCTAAACAACCATTGTCACCGAGTGAAAATCGTTTTATTACCAATCTTCCACCACCATCGACTCCTTCTCGACAATCGTCATTACAAACTAATTCGCATGATCAGCAAACAAAATGTCGTCCATCGATTCCGAACCGTCAAACAAAACCGGTTGAAAGATGCAATTCAGTTGAAAACAATAATGCACAAAACGAACGAACAGGATTGTTAAAAAGGTAGATTGTTTTATAATCTGGATATTCAGGAGCGAAGACGTAAATAACTTTTACCTTGTAGGCCAGTGCCGTCTTTTCATCGATCTCCCGATAATGATTCATCATCGTCCACCTATGCCACATTACGTAAAAATAAAACTTCACCAAACTCAATTAACTGTTTAAAACGTCCACCACTTGTTAGTTGTGGTTTACACACCTCTTCATTTCGTTTACAATCGTCGACTGTTTCTCCTCCACATCCATCTGCAATAAAATCAAACACAATAAATTCAATAGCAATGCGTGCGAAAAGTTTAGAGAATATAAATGGTGGTGACCACTATAATACAAAAGAAATACGCAAAATTCCATTTAACCTGACGAAGAATAATATATCACCATGCAATGCAGCACTAAATGGTAACACATCATTATCGTCTTATACAAACGGCATAGCGCCAACATTATTATCAGCAAATGACAAGAAAATAACACCTGATATTCTCTCACCAAGAACAATATCAGCACCAAAATATCATAATACAACTCTTTCTCATTCATTATCGAGTCAAAATCGAACAAATAATACTAAATTATCATTATCACAGGTATATTTTTAACTCAAAAATGATCGGAGTTGCTTGTCAGATTGTGATGCTTTCACTCGACCCATAAGCAAAGTAATTGTTCTTTCTTTTTAGAGTTCTTCTCCCCAGTGTCGTCGTTCGAATCTTTCTTCTAGTCAACAACAACAACAACAACAACAACAGCAACAGCAGCCGCAGCAACAAACTTATTTACAAAATTTGCAAGTATTATGTAATTTATCGTCAAGCACTGAATCTAATTGCATTCCATTTGCTAACGAAAATATTGGAACAATCAAACAACGTTTAACAATGAATGGAAATGGAAATGACAGCAAAATTGCATCATTAGATTCAGTTACAGATACTAGTTCAACAATAAAACGTTTATTACCAATCGAATTTTTTGAACAAAAAACATTGACAAATTTTCTGAAACCCTCTTATCCTATAACAACGGCCATTTACGATAATAATGAATGCTATTGTTCCTCACCACCAAAACTCATAAGTGTAAAATCACCCTTGTTTAAAAATGGTAATAGTCGAACAGTAACGAATGAACAAGAAAAACGTTTACAATATATTGAACTTTTAAAAAAAGAAAAAGAAAAACAACAACAGAATAAATGTCAACGGTATGTCAAAAAAATACGGAAAATACAGTGGTTCACAGTTTTTTTTTCTATTTTTCATTTAGAACTGATACATCGAATGTTTTACACGATATTGATGATATGTTAAGTGATTTGAATCGTGAATTAGATGCTATGCTAGAATATGAAACAATTTCGCGTTCTTGAATGTTCTCGTGTGCGTACCTTTATATTATAGATTAGAAATTTTCGTAAAAAATCGTCATTTTCTCTCAAATAATGATCTTCTTTCTTATACGCAAATTAATGTCAGATTATTTTCGTTCTTTTTTTACTTTGGATCCATCATATAGTTAAAATTCTCTCTTCCCTTTATGGTTGATTACGTCCAAGTGTCTGAAATCAAATAATCGTCATCGATAATAAAATAGTAATTCAGAGCAAAAATCAAATTGTTAATGATCGAAGTCTAAAATTGTGTCTGATCAAAGGCTACAATATGCCTTATAGTTTTGTACATACTTCTCTGGTTTCACCAATAATTTATTTGAATGAAACCCTTGTTTTTTTGCTTTTTTTTCTTTATTTGTGCACCTCACCATTCTTCTGTCTGCTTTTTATTAATGTTTTTTTTTTCGTTTTCTCGGTTTTTTGTGCAAACATTTTTTACGTTATTTCTTTTTGAATATGTCCGTCAGAAGGTTCTCTTCGTGTTTTGATTTAATCTCAGGGAGTATTAATCTCAACTTTAAGAAAGAAAAATCGATTGTGCTTTATTTAACTCAATGTTGACTTTATTGAACATATGATGTTGTTTTTGACATAATATCTTGTTCGGTTCTTTTTTTATATTAAACTTTTCTTTCTTCTATTTTTTACTAAACTAATGTTCTACTTTTCTTTTGTGTTTAAAAAAAGATAAAAAAAAATATAGGTCAATTCAATATTGCAAACGACAACGATAATTTACATGTGGCTGATTTGGTGAGCAAAATTTACATTTGACAAGAGAAACGTTTTTGCCATTTTATCGATCAATGGAGGATATTAATATCGAACAAAAGTATTAAAAGCCAGCTGATGGACGGTTGTGTAAAACTACACATACCGTTCTATAAAGCGTACCTAATAGGTTTTTTAGCAGAGGCAGATCACTTCGACACGAGCAGTCCAAAAAGTAGTTGAACCACTCAGCGGGTAACCTGGGCCCCTTGAAAAAATTTCAGAACGAAACACTAGGTTTCATTATTTGCCTCTAGATTTCTCTAGAAAGCGTTATTTTCCTTACTCATCAAGTTTGAGGCACGAATTTGCTGTAGCTTGAGGTAAAAGTTTTATAGTTTATCGTTATACAAAATAAAACGGTGGTAGACTTTTTTGTAACAGAAAAAGAAAAAAGGAAACAGAAGGAAAGGAAAGAAAGATGTTTGGATGTGATCACTAATTGACTTTCTTGTCCTATTCCTTTCAAGATTCTTATCTCTTGTCATTTCAGCGAAGAATCTTGTTTATGAATTTCTAGCAAGAATTCTATGTATACAAAAAAATTCATCTTGTTGTCGATTTTGTTTCTTTTCGTGTATGCAGCATGGTTTTACATATGTCAATACAGACAAGATATACGTTAAAGTCAACAATTCAATCGTCTCGATAAGAATACCCTAAAAAAACAAATTTCTAATAAATTTCTGGTAAAATATTTTTATAGGACAAACGAATCGACCTATGTGTTTCGATCGAGTGTTTCTCATTTTCTCGGCATTTTTAGATTGGTATTACCAATAGTCGAACCTTTTTCCGGTCTACTAACAAGAGTTTTTCAGCACTGGTTGCGCACCGATACCAGAAAGAACATGAGCTAAGAAACTTAACTGATTTATTAAAACAGACTTGAAGAATCTTGGCTGAAATGACAAGATACAAGAATCTTGCAAGAAATAGGACAAGAAAGTCGACCAGTGATTATTCGAGTATTCATTTTTCCCTGCTTCCTGTTCTTTTGTAGTTTATTTTTCTAATAGTATGGTATAATATAACGCCAGATTGATGTCTCCAAACTTTGTGAACTACTTAGTCTTGTTAGAAACCTGCTAATTATATGTTACACAAATCGGATATCGCTTTGAATTAATTGAGTCTTAAGTAAATCATATTTCAGCAAATTTTTTTTGTGATAATTTATAGGAAACATGTCAATTTACATTCATAGCTGATACTTCTTCGACAATTGGACTTATTTGTTTAGTACTGAATGTTAGTGATAGATGACGTTAGTTTATGTGTATAGTTAAACACTCTATGATATTCCTCAACCAATAAAAAGTATGATGAAGTGTTGAATAATGATAATGACTCAACGTGTGATGAGAGAAAAATGGGATAATATCTCTTTAGATTATTTACTTCTTATTAAATACTTTTATAACTTTTTTGTTCTAAATCGTTATTTCTTTGAATACAATATATCATGCAAGTCGATATTAGCTGTTGCGTTGTTAAACAGTATATATCTCCTTGGAAGTGGCATCTAATGTGAACACACCAACTGTATCCTTAGTTTTGATATTACTTTTAGTTTAGCTATTAGTCCGCAGCTTTCTTTTCTTGGTGAATATGTAATTTCAAGATTTCATGCAACACGTTTATTTTTGAGCTCTCCGGACGATTACGTGTTATTTATTCCTATTTTCTTCTTCGTTCTGAACTTTATCGTTTCTGATTGTTCTTAATCTTCTATATACTGACTACATGTGTCATTTATTCTAGTGTAGACAGAAACGCTACGTGTGCAATCACGTGACTGACATACGTTCCATTCTGTTCAATTTTTGAAGAAAATAAAGTTGTCTTTTTATATGTTCAGTATAGCCATTCAACATTCGAATTAACTTCGGGATGTCAGCATTTTCGTTTGTTTATTAATGCCTTGAATCTTTAATCTTTTATAAATGTTACATACGAATACTTGTTTGTATTACATTCTTCTCTGTTCTCGTACTACGCCACATCTAAATGTTATACGTATGATATACAATTTTTGTTTACCTTTTAGATAGATGTATGTATTGATATAACACATTTCTGTTAATTAATTAAATTTGTTTCAAAAGTGCGATAATTGTATATTACTTCCCAATGTGTATTTATTAATTAAAAATATTAGGACAAGTTTTTATTTATTAATCAATTTTTGTTCATCATGTTGACAAATAGTTCTCGATTTACAACGTACGTTTCTCAAATTAACAATATCAAATTTGATGCAACTTTTTTACCAGTTGTTGCAACAAGTTTTACAATATTTATGGTGTTGTACAAATTTGCTAATCCATTCTTCTCAAATTTATTAGTTAAAAGTTATAAAAATTTTACTATTACACAAAAAATTGATTTTAGTACTCGGTAAATTATATTATTTTGATAATCTAGATTGATTGTTGATTCAAATTGTTTTCTTTTATTATTTTAGGATAAATTCATCAATTAATTCGTTTACAGTTGGCACAATATGCGTGTATATGATGATAGCTGATAGAGGTCTAGAAGCAAATCCGTTATTGTACGTAGAATAATATTGTTTTTTCTTTAGAATAATTGAGTTTTCTTTTTTTCAGATATAAATCCTATCTTTTGAAGACAAATTTAGCAATTGTTATTGGATATCTATTTGCAGGTAAGTGTCATTTTGTTCAAGACATTTTCAATATTATTGTTATGTTTTTTATTTTGTGTTTAGACACAGCAATTAGTATAATACACTATAAAAAAGTCGGCGATCCATTTACCATTACACACCATCTTGTTTCTATTTATGCTTTCTTCTATGTTTTGGTAAGAAGTGAGGAAATTTTCACCGTTTTGTCTGTATGTTGACTTGTTGATTCATTTTTGTTTTTAAGACACTCGATGTAATGCCATATTTTGCCAATTTTCGTCTATTAGCAGAATTATCTACACCGTTTGTTAACATAAGGTAATTATACCTATTACTTCTATAATGAACATTTTAATTACTATACCTTCTTGTACAAGTATATTTCACCACTGAATGTATTTCGTCCTAAATACCAGTGTTGTTTTCCATTAGTTATAAAGAGCGTTTTTTTACGTATTTCTTAGATTGTAAACCGAAGTAAAGTTGAATTCGATTATAATAGAATCTCTATTCTATGCTAGAAATTGAATTCTTGTTATAGTGGAAGAAATAATGTTAGTCATCTAAGGGTATAGCAGTATGAAAGAGGGAAGAGGAAAATGAGTATATGACTGCTACCAAAAACATGACGAAATTTTTATATAAAATCGAATTTTTGAATTTTCCAGTTTTCAATGCATGTCTTACATCATCATCAGAAAAATGACGTAATTAAAAAAGATAACAGTATATGCACATAGTATAAATATGACTAGGAAATAAAACAGAAAAAAGTAAGAAAGAACAACTTGAACATACGAAGAAGGAATATCAGTGTATCTTGAACATATGATCAATGTTCGACGAACAATTGTCTTTAGCCAAGTAAATCTGTCCTTCAATAAGATCAGAACGTAATCTTCATCCAAAAATCTTAAGTTTATATTTAATATTATTAATTGATTTGTCATAACTTGCGTATGTAAATAAACTTTCCTTTATCACCTGTCATTTCCCATTAGTTTCCATGATTGATTATATGTTTAAGATATGATGATATTCTTTCTTTTTATGTTCAAGTTGTTCTTCAATAAATAGATAAATAAATAAATTCGATTTTATATAAAAATCTCGTCATGTTTCTTGTATCAATCATATACTCAAAGAAGTAACTTTGTTTATCACATATTTCATTTGAAATCACGAATCATAGTTTCATTGTCCTTTTTTTACTATTTTAGATGGTTTCTCGATACACTCAAATTTTCCAGAACATCTACACCGTTTGTTGCCAATGGATTAATAATGACATTATTATTTTTCTTTGTTCGTATCGTCGCCATGCCAATCTATTGGTATAAAGTTTATGTTGTTGCCATACAACCAATGTGGGCTCATATGGGTCATTTTCGATTTATACTTATTTCGGTGTGTATTGTATTAGATGTAATTAACATATATTGGTTTTCAAAAATGTTACGTGGTTGTATTAAAATTTTACAAGCAGTATTTGCAATAAAACAATCACAAATTCGTACATCTAACAGCAACACGAGCACTCAACAAAACAGTAATTTACGCACAACAGTTCACAATAAACAACCATAGTTATATTTAATAAATGATATTGGTTTTTAATCTTCTGATTTATTTCATTTCCTACTTTCCTTCAGATTTGGCTACCAATTTATCTCTGTCTAACCAAACAGGATCGGCTGGTTATTGCCAAAAGTTTAAGTTTTGGAATTATTTTCCAAATTATTCTTTGAATGATTATTTATTGTTAGTTTTCAGGTTCAAAATTGCACACTTCCGTTGGAAAAGAAGAATTTTTCATATTTAAACTTGTCAGTCTGGTTCTAATTCTGCTTTCCACTTCTATCGATGGTGACTGTTCAATTGATAAATGAAGATAATGTTGTGAATTTATCTCTTTGCATTGTTATTGTTGTTATTGTTGTTGTAGTAGTAGTAGTACAGACAATTTTTTTTATCTAGTCAAAAAATGAACATGTTAGAGAGAAAAATAGAGTAATTTAACTCTTCTTTTCACTTATCATGTAATTTATTGTTTTGCTCTCTATAATTGATAAAGAGTGTTGAAGTTTTATGTTGATTGATTAGAATTTGAATGTGTGATGTTAATATGGCAATTACTCTCAAGTTTACCAATTAATTATTGTGCTTTAAATTCAGTAATTTTCTTTTTGACAAATTTTTGTGACTGTCAATAATTATGTTTGTCTCTCTATGACCTCGCTATTCGTTTACCGGTGTACCACCATGAGATAAAAATTCCATGTTTGTTTTAATTTTGTTTTCCTGTGTCTGATGTGTTTGTGTGCATTTAAGAAAATGAGCTGTCCAACTAACTTTTTTGTTATCTATTGTATTTTGATTAAATCATTAATTTTTTTTGTAAAGAATTTGTGTTTGTTGTGTTTCTGACTATGTCGATTATGAAATATAATAAAAAAGTTTGAAACATTTGGTGCTACTGTAGTTCTAAAAAGTTAAACTGCATCCACTGCTACAGTAAGAACCCCATATGTCAACAAAAGTACTTATTTTACAAAGAGATAGTTCAGTTTTGGACAAATGAATGTTCTGTTTTCATTGAATATAATAGTTAGAAAGATGTCTATCTCTTCGAACTGTCTATATATCTCATGCATCAAACTACTAGTAGTTTTGGAATGACTCATCATCAATCTTTTCTATCAAGTGATTCTCAAAAACTTTTACAAAAGATTTTGTCCATTTCGGACGTATTTGTTCTCTTCTTCATGATTATAGTATAACGGGTGGCGCATAATAAACGGGACACTTTTGTTCTTTATGTTTAAGCCACTTTCGAATGATCTGAAAATCTGGTTCTAGTCTCATTCGATAGAGAATTCAATTCTCTACAGAACCTGCTTTTTGAATCTTTGATAGCATTTTTTTCGTTTGAGCACCACCCAAAATACTGAATAGTTCTAAATTCTCGAACTGCGACACACTGAAAATAGAAAAATATTTGCCTTGATCCCAGAATAGATTTCATAAGAATTTTGAAAACATCAGAAGATTCACCAGAAAATTCTGTATCTTCTCAAACATTCTTCGAAATTCTGCAGTTAACTCTTCTACGAAAATTTCTGTTTGCAAAAAGATGATAAATCTAAAAAAATCTAACTTTTGAATCTATTTTTCACAAATTTTTATTTTTGCTTATAAAAGCAGTAAAACGTTATGAATACAGGATTTTAGCCTTGTTATCTTATACAGAATTAATTTCTGCATCTTTTGATATATAAACAAAGTTTCTCAATTGAAACCATTAATTACAAAATTAATTTAATTTGGAAAAGTTTGAAAAGCCGGTTGAGAACTAGTTAGGAGTCCAGCTGACGTAGCGAAAACATTGTATGAAGTTATAAATGAGTGAGATCGATAGAGCACAAAATTCTCTATCTTTCTACCTAGAAAAAGTAACTATTGAACCTCAGACAATGGGCTAAGAATCTCAAAAAAGCATATGACAAAAGCACGTCGCAGTTCGAGAATTTAGCACTATTCAGTATTTTGAGTGGTGTTCAAACGAAAAAAACGCTATCAGAGATTCAAAAAGCAGGTTCTGTAGAGAATTCAATTCTCTATCGAATGAGACTAGAACCAGATTTTCAGATCATTCGGAAGTGGCTTAAACATAAAGAACAAAAGTGTCCCGTTTATTATGCGCCACCCGTTATTCAGAGATCCAGATAGCAGACTTCTTGCTGCTGCATTTCTACTTTAAATTCTAATTTATATGTTAAGGTCCTGGTGTAGGCAAGAGGAAACTATTTTAACACTACCTTTTAGAGTGCATGTCGTGTTGTTCCAAGGAAAAATTCTATTCAATAAGATTTCTACTGTAGAATTTGCTCTGAACCCCAGTGTCAACCTTTTACTTCTCATGTAAGAATTTATTGCACCAGTCTTCCACTTTTCTGCGTATTTCCGTAAAAAGGATCTTTTGGCGTTAAAACATGTTCGTGTTATGCACGATTACACGTTTATCTACAGTATGCCGTAACGCTCAATGAACGTTTTAAAAACAAACAGAAAATAATTAGCTTTTGGAAAGGTTTTTCGGAAACCTTCGGAAGGAAGAGAATACTTTTATTGATCTTAGTACAGAATTAGATAGAGTGGATAAAATAGAGCATATCTTGGTATTCTGAAGTAACTTCGATGGATTTTGAGTGAGTTGTGAGTTTCATAACTTTCCTAAGCTCGTAGACCGAAGAATAGAGAAGTCCCGGGGCTTCGGAAAAAGAAACCTTTTTTTAAAGGTTATTTTGTAGAGGACACTTTGAACTATCTACCTATGGAAAAAAGCTCGATAGATTGCTATGTAAAATTTTTGCCTTAGAAACTCGATTTCCCGAAATCCTCTGAAAAAGCGGTTTTAGAAACTTTCTCAAAAAAATGTTTTCGCTTATGAAAGTATAGACTAAACTGTCGGCTTTTGATTAGTGGAAACCGCATGTCTCTATCTCTTTTTGTTCTTGAGTTATTCAAAAAATACTCATACACACGGACTTTTTGGAGGGGCAGTAATTCAACGCGTTTATCAGCACTCGAATTCCTACATGAGACTTTATCTAAAAAATAAGTTTATACTTTTATTTATCTTACTGTTATTCAACTACTAAAAGATTTGATGAACGGTAAGTTTTTCTGTCACATTGTTTTCTATTTTTATTAAAACCTTCTGGGTGTGTGTGTGTGTGTGCGTGTGTATGCAATGTAAACCACTCTGTCTTTATTAGAACTCTTCGATTTTAGTCTTTAGCAGACAAGTGTAAAAAGTCAAAATGTATAATTATTTGATGGCATATTTCGATGAAGGACCTGGATATTTGTTACTTATTGTTATGACATTATCGATAATTTCTTGTTTCTTTGTTGGTTTATTGACCGAGAACTATTCTCAAGTGGATAAACTTTGGTCATTATTACCACCTATTTATTGTTTAATAACATTGTTCTATGGTCCAATTACGTTACGTATGATGATAATGACTTTAATAGTTGTTATGTGGGGTTTGAGATTGAGCTACAACTTTTATCGTAAAGGTGGATATAAGTGGTCGAGTGAAGATTATAGATGGCCAGAATTGAAAAAAACAATTACTAATCGTATTGTTTTCGAATTATTCAATTTAACATTTATATCTATATTTCAAAACATATTGCTACTTTTAATTGCTAGTCCCATTTATTACACATGGAAACATTATCAGACCACCCCGTTAAATGGATGGGATTATATAGCAACAATATTGTTTTTACTTTTTTTAATCGGTGAAATGCTCGCCGATGAGCAACAATGGAACTTTCATTTGAAAAAACATCAACAAATAGCTAAACAAACGAAGTCTACTTCGAATACCAATGATGGATTTTTGAGTGAAGGTCTATTTTATTATAGCAGACATCCAAATTTTTTTTGTGAAATATGTATATGGTGGTCATTTTATTTATTTTCTCATTCATTTTTCAATTGGACAATTTCTGGTCCCATATTATTAACACTCTTATTTCAAGGTTCAACAAAATTCACAGAGGCAATTAGTTCTCAAAAGTATCCACGTTATAAACAGTATCAAAAGACAACAGCAAAACTTATTCCATGGTTTCCAAAAAGAAATAGATAAAGACTAACATTCGTTTCAGCGTTTCTCCCTGTTTTTTATGTTGATCAATGATTTCTTATTAGTTTCAGTAAGCGAGCGAATTGAGTAAAATCGATTCGGTTTTTTTTAAGCAATTTTAATTACCTAAATTAATTGTTAGCTATCTATGCGTTTATTATCTACATGTTGCTATCTAAACTAATATGTAATGATTCAAATAAGAAATTATAAAACAAGACACGGACATTATTTCATGTATATTTTCTCTTGAAAAGATATGCGTTAGAAAGTCATTTTTTAATCGATAGATAATTATTTTTTTAAAAATTATTGATTTTAATTCTTTAGGTGTTTTTTGAATAAATAAATATTTTTTCTTAAAAACAACAGATTCTTAAATATATGTTGAAAAAAAGAATTTCGAAAATAGACCGTTGTAAAATTTTAAAATTAACATTTAAGAATTTTGAAGAACGTAATTTATGGCTTTTGGCCGTTTAGTGAATGTCTATAATTTTCTACAGAACAAGCTTTTAAAAAATGAAATTCAGTACAAAATAAGCTAGCTAGTACATTGCTCAATACAAATAATAGCAGATAAATCTCGTTCTCTTTCTAACATCAAAAATGGTCGATTTAAACTAACTAACTTTAGGTCAGTATTTTTTAAAAGCAGATGGCTGATCCGCAATAACCAATCATTAGATAGTAGATCGAAGTAATCTCGGTGGTCCGTGTAGAGCAGTATACGGTTCGAAAATCTTGTAAAAGAGATATGCATTGATTCATGAAACTTCGAAGCCCAACATACATTAGTTTGAAGGTAGAACGAATAGAGTACAGCGAATCCTACTGTCTCCACCGAGTTTCTTCGAGATTGCAGATTTTTAATAAAAGTATAAAGCGTGTGTGTAATCAAACTTTTGTGTAAGTGATTTTTTTCTAGTGTTGAGACTCACCAGAATATCTTACTTCGTAAAAGAGTACTTCATTATGCAGCTTGAAAAACCCAAAGTAAAAGATAAATATATGTGTATTCGCTTCTAAGTTTCCAAATGAACTTTTAAATCAACTAATACGAAGGCTAAACATGAAATAGGAAAAGTCTATGATTAACCATATTGAAACAATCAAAATCGAGCGATTATAATTACTTTCTAAACTGTTAGAAATGCCGAACGTCATAATATTAGAGAAGACAAATACAGCTTCAAAAGCATTCCCAGTGAACTTTTTGATACCAAAAATTTCCTTTGAGCGTGTTAACCATTTCTTAACGCATTTAATAGCAAACATTTCTTTCGTTAAAATTAAATGAACCAAAAAGTTTTTGAACGCGTTGAAATTATTTCTAATTTTAACACCTTAAAAAGTCGATGCTTTATTTAAATAAAAAATATTAGGTGAAAACAGGCTAAAAACCTAAAATATCGTGAAACACACTTTTCGCTAGGCTTTTAAGAATCTTTCTAAAACAAATATTGTCACGAGACTCAGTATGATCGATTACCTATAGTCCATTTGCTACTAAGAGTCATGCCAATTGCATAAGAATAACTAGGGACATGTAAAGAAATTTGTTAGATAGTATCTGCTTTGGAACATCTTGAAGAACATGAAGGCGATATTATATCGTTCAAGTTAAATACACAGCGTTAGTAATTCATTGACGAATCAAATCAAAGGTGTGTTGAATTTGTAAAAATGCATTAGAAAAGTTAAAAAGTTTAAGATACCCAAATACATTAGCTTTTAAGGTATGCGAAAGCGTTACAAAAATTTTCTATCCATTTAATGAGTTTAGACGTATTAAGGTACAAAATGCCGATTTTAATGCGTTCAAAGGAAATTTTGGTATCAAAAAAGTTCACTGGGTTGTTTGCTAGAAGCACGGATGCATGAGTAACAGCACATTGCATCGATCTGATGGCGGCTAATTTATTAACTAATTAATCATCTTTTTTAAATTTTGAATTAAAATTCTGACAAAATACATTCGCTCTCAAATTTGTGCGCGTGGACTTTTCACCGTTTCACTCATTAACATAGTGCGTGTTGAGTTATTATTTAAAAAATGTAATTTATGAACAGCGTGAAACATTTATAATTTGAACAGTATTTCTATTTATTGGTAATTTTATTTATCCTCTAACTTGTTGTTAATTAAACACTATCTAAACGGGTACTTTGAGTTGTTTATTAAAATTTGAAATATATAATCTGTATAATTCATCGCAACAATGAACATAGAAAGAACACATTATAATACAGCAAATCATGATTACGGTTCATTTTATTTTGGAAAATTTCAGAATAGATTAGTTGATCCTACTCTTGTGGAACAGGAATTACTCAACAATGATGAATTAAGAAATGCCAGAAAGTGTTTAGCTAGTATATCGTATGATGTTGTATTTGATGTAAGTGACTTTAACTGATGATACTTAGAAAACGTACTGCATAATAGATATTTATTTTAGAAACATGATGCAAATGTGATGAAGTAAGAGCTTTTTTATTTACACTTGACAACATCAGATTATCTAGAGCTAATAAGTATCATTTTCAGAATTGTTCAAAACAAAAATTCAGAAAAGGTATTTGTCCACAGTTATAATTAGTTTAAATTTCCAAGAATGAAAGATGATACACGCTTTATCTAAATGAAGTTTACTACTGAAGTTTTCTATGTTACACAAGTGATGGACGATAACTTGGTAGTGTTTTAGATTCCACTAATATCCTTGAGACAACTGAGATGGATTAAAGGAACAAATACAAAATACGATAAGAATGTTATTAAAGAAGCTATTGTGACTTATAATGATTTCATTGACTGTATTTATGAGAAGAAACAACGTGAAAAGGTAGAAAATAATTAAAAATCTCTACTCAGATTTCTACTCAGTTATCAATTTTAGCCAAAACAATTGAAGAAAATAAGCGCGATAATAGCGTTGGAACTACAAGCAATGAATGTAAGAATAGTAGAAATCAATTTTCATACACTCAATACTTTGAATACAGTATAACGGGGTTTTCAGAATGTGCGACGTTTAAACGGCATACTTCAGTAACAGATATTCTAGAAAAAACGAGTAATTATTTATTTGTTTCCTTTTGTCTCATTCGTTTGATGATTCTCCTTTCGAAAAATTCGCGTTAAAATTTTGAACTTTTTTTCATATACTGTAAAAAATATGGACAATATGGAGAAATACTATGATGCGTCAAGTTCTAATCCAACAAACAACGAGAAAAACATTTATTTTGAGCAGGAGGTCATGCATCAAGGCGAAATCAAAATGAGTGTTCTAGTGCTTCCAAATATCGTCTTTCTTCTCATGTATCACAAGTCCGTTTTAGACGTGTTTTTTTGGCACAAAAGGCGGTTTTACTAACATCCATCAAAAAAGGCAAAACTTAACTTTTTCTCAGATCGAAGACTGAAGAGGAATTATTACCTTTTTCGGCTAAGTTAGAGAAATTCTCCCAAATGCTTCAGAACTGCAACTTGAAACCGATGGTTTTTTGTAAACTCCTCCTCGACTGCTTGTGATTATGAAAAGTTTTATATACAGCGAGCTAGTAAAGTCTTTCATGACAAAAAAATGACTATCTACTCTCTTTCCACATCGCCCAAAATATAAAGGACTAGAATTGTAAAACAGCTCTTTAAGATTAAAAAGTATTCGAGTTTAAAGCTTCACAATTTTTTCTCCATATATTTTATTTTGCGGTATGTTCAGTATGTTCTTTGTGAAGAATTTCAAGACAAATCTTTTGGAAGGAGAATCAGCAACCTAACAGGACAAAAGAGAACGAATGTTATAGACATTCGGCTGAAATATCCATTATTTCAAAAAGAGGTTTCTTTAGAAATTCTTCAAGTCGTCATCTGGACAAGCTATGTCATTTGGTACTCCTCAAAAAGAAGAGATACTGATAAAATGGCATCATTCATAATGATATTGCAACTGTATGCATTTAGAGAAATATCACAGTCGATGAATTGGTTGAACAAATGATAGCGGTCACTGTTCCGATCAAGTATATAACTGGCTTGCCGAAAGTCAACAAAAATAGGGATTATCCAGGTAGCTTATCCAAATGTGGTAATACATTCACATTGACACGTCTTTTTAATCAACTGGATAACCTTCAAGTAAGTTTTAATATTGTCAATCGCCTGATATTTTTTACATGTTACATAAATTCTTTACATTAGGCTAAGATGGCAGAATCTAAAATAAAGTTTAATTCAAACGAAATTACATCTTATGCACTTATTGGTGACAAATATATCTACAATCCATTCAAGGAGCTGATCAAATGTTGATAGTCCACTATATAAATTATGCACATTATGGATTTCTTCTTATCTCCTACAATTTTCTTATATATATCGTGTAAACTAGCCAACTTGAGAAATGAATGACTCTTTTGAAAAATGTATACTGGAAATCAATAAAAACATTAAAATGGGAAATTTTATTAAAAATATTGATAAACCACTGATCAGGTCCAAAATAACCATTTGAACTATTAACGAAGTTTCAATTTTTTGTTGATTGCATCTTCCTTTTATTTGAGTCTATTTGTAATATGCATTCTGAAGTCGAACTCGATTAGAATGTACTCACGTTCAAATTTTATATAATTCTTTAATTCTTTATTATTTAATGTTAGACATATTGGTCAATCATCAATCGCTGCAAATAGTACACGTATGAGTTATTAGAATGGAAAATTTCTGTTTAAAACAAACTATACGCACCAAGTTTTCATTCAATTTTGCACTGATATTTTACTAGCTTTATTTATGTTCTTTTCTGTTGAATTTTTTGAACAAAGGTAACATAAATCGAAGTGGAATTCTTTAATTAGGTAAAGTGATGAATTAGGTAAGTCAAGGGTTTTAGATATTAGGCAATACAAGTTGTTTAGAAAAATTAATGAATGAAGTTTAGAGAATTCAGTGGGCAAGTTCAAGAACTTCTTAGTGAATTTGAAAGTAGCAATAAATCGTGTTTTTTGCTAGCTTTCGGCTCTGAATGAGGCAGTTCATCTGGCATATTGTTCTTACTCATCGACCATTTTTTATTGAAGCAATCTATTTCTTCAAAACATCTCGAATAAGTAAAAAACTAACAATTGCAAATAAACAAATGGTTGAACTGTTAAAATACAACAGTCTCTAGCAAAGAAACAACACTTTTGTTTTACCAAAACCTTTAACAGTTAAATGCGAAAACTCTGTTTCTGTTATTTGTTGAAAGAACTCTGCGTCAGACCAGTCTTCTGGCTAAGACAGTTTGATAATTAGTGAAGAGATGATCTTCGGAAGCTATTAACCGCAGAGAAAACGGATCAGATTACGAAGCATAGCCCGATGCTATTGTAACAAATCTAAAATTTGTTTGAAAGGATAGTAATGAGACAACGGTCGAAAGACAATGTTGGTTGTCATAGGAGATGTGCTTACCCGCAGTCGGGCGACGGACACCACCTTGTATCTGGTATTGATTGTAATACTCTTCTGATCATAAACTCTTCATATTTTCGCATCAAATCTGAATTTTTAGTCAGTATCCGATTAATATCACATGGATGAATTTTTTCTATACAGTCTGCTTGTGGACAACTCAGATTCACTCGTCCTTCAGTTATCTCTAATTAGATGTATCGCGCCTCCCAGCCAAATATTTCCAGAGATGTTAGTCAGGTCATTAGTGTCTGACGCGGCCACCGATAATCGGCGTTATGGGCTAATATCTCTAAATATTCCTGATAAAAAATAAGCAGAACGGTCGTGTTCACATTTCAAAGAGGAAAATTGATATCGTCATTCTTTTCGTCATAACAGGGATTGGCAGGAATGTGTTACAAAGTTGTTATTTTCACACAGAGTTTGATAATGTTTTGATGACATAATATTCGCATGACTTCGAAAGCAGATGGCAAGAACAAGTTATAACTCATTGTTTGTAATAGAATGGAATGTTTATAAACATCCTCCATCTACAACGTCTTTCTGTTCTACTGCAACTACAGCGTGCAAAACGAATGTGAAAAATCTGTTTGATTATGACAAAGATTAACTAAATAGTTGAGAATGATTGCTATGAAATTATCATTTAACAGTGTTCATTTCTTCTCAAAAATCCTTATGGTAATGAAACTAATTTAATTTAAAATGTTTCTCACTTCGAAGTTTTACAAATGCACTAAAAATAAAAGATAAAATAAAACTTGTCAAACTTTAGTTTCCAATGAAGCGAAATTATAATTCTATTCTACAAAAAAATCACTCTAACTGGTGACAAACTTTAGATTATTTTCCTAATAAATTCCTCATGAATTACTTTATGACTCAAAACAAAAGTATCTACGTTTTTCTAATGCTTACAAGAAAAAGAATGAAAAACGAGAGAATTTTCACATGTGTGAGTGAAAAAAAAGAAGCAATACCTTGAAGTATGTTAAGTTTATTCTGTTTCTTTTTCTGTAGAAAAAAAGTAAAAGATTTTTATAAGTGAACTTGGTTGACAAGAACAATGTAACTGATATGTACATTATATTTGTCAAGTGTTTTATTGAAGACAGTTACTCTTGCACGATTATAAAACAATGAGGTAATAATTTCATTTCTACGCTGCAGTATCTGCTACTGAAGCAATAATTAATATAAATGTCTAATAAAGCTAATCAGTGGTGAAACGTATTCATTTTTCCTGTTTTATATAGAATACTTTAAGTGCAATGTTTCTGATTTTCTTTTAAGTTGTGCAAAATGTGAGCGACCGTTTCGTTACGGTACTGATGACACAATAACAATCAATCGTAAAACGTATCATTCGGACTGTTTATCGTGTGATAATTGTTCACGAGCGTATGATGGTAGTTTTGCACCAGATGAAAATGATAAAGAAGCTCTTTGTCAGCAATGTTTACTAAGCAGACGAACAAAATCATCATTAAATATCTCGAATGAAAATCCTGTTGAACAAAAGAACAAGTAAGTATATATCTTTGATTAACGACACATGTATATTATAGTATAAAACTTGAGTAGCTAAATAATGTACTTTAATATTTTTACGTAACCCATGTCATCAAAGCTGAAAAACAAATTGGCTGATTAAGCATAATTAATCAGTCGGTTTAACGTGCACTTAATCTCGATTTTGAGGTAAAAATGGTCGATAAATTTGGATTAAACACGCTTTGTGCTAAAATTCCCTATTTACAGCAAAAATACTGGAAAATCATTAAAAACCCCGAGTTTTTCATTCTTAAAAACTCTATAAATCGAGAAGAAAGAAAAAAGATCGCCTTCTCTTAGATAGGATCCGAAGTGTTTCTGGTAAAAAGTCGCACCCCACCGGACGAGTGTTTCGAGAGGTTGTAATGAGCGCCAATGAAAGACTGAATTTTCTCAAAGTTCCGAGAAGGATAATAGATAGAGAGTTGAAACAAAAAAGAAACCCAAATTTCTCGTATTTCTGTTTGTATTTTTCATTTTTCCTGGAAATACGAACGGGTAAATCCACATAGAACCTACCACGTTATATAAAAGTTTGTGCGCCAGTGACGAGATATATCTCTCCAGATGTAGTTTAGGATGCTGATTCCAATAGCGAAAATCGCAGCTCTCCAGCTGAGCGCAGAGAAAAGTTATACGCATTTTATTTTTAGCGAAAATCGCAAAAAAGCTCATTTTTCATCGAGCTCATTTACAAGAAAAGCCTAAATTAATTTCTTCTTATTTCTGTAGCTTTGAGCTGACAATGAACATTTAGGGCTTTTCTTGTAAATTCTATAACTTTGCAAAGAAAGATCATGTAGAACTGGGAGACGTCTCATTTTAATCAGAAATGTGCAGGTTACAATCAGACCTTATTCAAAAAGGTTTTGATTATGTTTTAGAGTGTCCGAAAAACTGGTTTTCCAAAAACCGAACCGGGATCTCTAGAGACATCTGGGAAAAACCCATTGTGATGTTCGGATTCAGCGTGATCGATTACCTGTCACCCACTGGGTTTCGTCTCAAAAGCGATGGGACAGTTGGTGGCCTTCCCTCGTAAGATAGAACCTAGCCTCAAAAGGTTGTCTAGGTAACCGAGATCTTTCATTTGAGACCAAACTGAAAGGTTTTCCATGCTGGATTTCGATTCTACAAGCTTCATAAAAAAGGTCATCTCTGCAGGAAAACAGTGAAAAATGAGCTTTTTTGCTAAAAAATAAATTGCGTATAACTTTTCTCTGTACTCAACTGGAGAGTTGTGATTTTCGCCATTGGAATCAGCACCCAAAACTGCATCTGGAAGGTATATCTTGTCCCTGGCACCGACGGTCGATGTAATGGTGGTAGGTATCATATGGATTTACCCGAACTCTTTATCACTTTTGGTTTATTTCTGACAGCGGGCAGCAATTTTATGAAGAGCCAAAGATGGAAGAAGGGATACCCTTAATCGACGATTTCTTTTCGATTTTGACTGCATGGAAAATACTTACCATAAATAATTTCTTTTTTAAATGGACAGTGTTTCTGTTGTTTTCAATTTTTTTTCTTCTTAATGTATGTCTTGAAATCAAAATAGTTCGAAATTCTTGACGAGAAATGACTTCTTTTGTTATCTATTTCTGACTAATCGTGCACTTTCGTCTTTGTTGAATATTTTCATCAGATGTGATGATATTATTTATTCTACTCAAGTAATTTTTTATACAACAAATCATAATGATTAATGATTAAACTACATAATATCCTTCGTTATTCTCATTTGTCACTGTCATTGATAGTAACTCAACGGCTGAATTGAATTTTGTGAAAAGCTAATTTTCAGTTTATTTTACCAACTACAATATTCTTGCTTTGATTTTGATTGCTATACAGTCGAAAAGCTGCTTTCGGATTATTTTTTCACTTGACTCGATTGTTTCGTGTTTTTCCAATGGTATTTTCATCATCGTTTGATGTGTCAGCTACATGGTCCGTTGGATGAGTGAATTATGAAAGTTGATGTTGTTATTGGTATGTAACTGATTACGGTAGCGAAAGAGAAAGAATAGATGGATAAACTCAGTGTGATTAATGTAGACATATCAAGATATTTTCGAAAGATTTTTTTACCATTTTATCCACTTGAATAATGAATAAAGTATCGTATGGTTGGTTCTAGACAAAATAAACAACCTTTTGTATAATGTGTTTTGTTGTTTGGCGTTGTCTATTTGATTCCTTTTTGTTGAACATTATATTACCATAACCACATCAACGCTAATATATTGACACTTGTTTGAGTTTTTAGAAACGACTGATTTTTCTCTCTTGTCTCAGTCGATCAAGGGATTATGGACAAGCGCAATATTGAAATTGGTCATACCTTACACCATATCTGTTTGTTAACTCTTTCCCTTTTCATAGGAATGGGCAGCCTTTTCCATTCCTTCTTCAGATGCACAAATCATGTGGTTCAGAACACAAAAGTGTTTAGTACTCACAGTTTTTGACTTAAACTGAGTTGGTGACATAAGAGATGTTTTCTTTCAAATTATCGAAAACATATCTTTTTTAGGTGTGGAGGATGTGCCATGCCACTTAATCCTAATTCTCGCCACATAACGAAAAAATATCAAGGTAAAGAGTATCATCACAATTGTTTGAAATGTAGTCAATGTTCCAACTTGATCGAAGGCGAGGTTTATGATGAGAATAATAATTTATTTTGTGGAAAATGTTATAAGACGAAAAATAATAAACGTTTTCAAGAAATAAATACTGAAAATAACGAAAATCAGAAGAAGACTGTACGATTTGCTGAAAAACTCCATGAAACATTAAATCGAAATGAAATTGAAGATTATTATAAAGAACAAGCAAATATAAACGGTGAAATGAGTTAGTAAGTACTTTAATAATAGCCGGACATCTTTAGTTCTACTGGAATAAAACAATAATTTTAGTTGTGCAGCTTGTTTGTTACCATTCCATGGCAGTTGTCGCATAACCCAAACACACGACAAAGAATATCATTATGAATGTTTTTGCTGTGAAATATGTCATTTACCAATTAATGGTATATATACTCCAACAAACAATGGTCGAGCATTTCAATGTGGAAATTGTATTCAGAAAACATATCCAGTCAACGTGAAACTATGCCATGAATGTGGCCAACCACTGGACTTAGGTGTACAAGGGCGCGTTCAATTCAATAATAAACATTATCATAGTGAATGCTTCGTTTGTGTTTTATGTAATAGAAAATTGAATACATCTCAAACATTTCTCATTCATAACGATCAACCTTGGTGTGCTCAATGTGAAGAAGATGTTAAAAAATGTTTTAATTGTTCAAAACCAATTTTAACTCAGGGGATTAAATATGAAAATAATGAATATCATGTTGAATGTTTTACGTGTCGAAAATGTAACAAACTATTAGAAAATGAAAAACTTCTTACGGCACATAATTCATTACCCTATTGTGTACAGTGTCATGATGAATTGTTTGCAAAAAAATGTTTCAAATGCAAACGACCTATTCCACATTCTACAAAGTATATGACATTTGAGGAACGCCCCTATCATGAACAATGTTTCTTATGTGATAAATGCCATCGTCCGATTGGAAGTAACAACAAATTTTTTAAAGATCAAAGAGGTTTTATTTGTTCCAACTGTGGTGGAAAATAAGACAAGCAGCACAAAAGGTTGAAATTACTAATCATTGCAGTTGAACACTTTGTAGTAAACTTGATTTCTACGATATATAGCTGCTATTTAATTTTATACCAGTATGTGTAGCACCTTTGCTTATAAATAAAGAATGGACTGCTCGGATCGAGTCTAATATCATTCAAGCATTAACAAAAGGAAGAAAATATACCAGGTAAAGAGATCTTTATATATCTAAATAACATCTAAGTCAGAATACTAGCACACCAAAACATATTTGCGTCTATTTAAATAGACTCATATTCAGTTTAAATTCAACATTGTCAACAAAAAATATAATAACCAGCAACTACAACATAAAATAAGTATAAAAATTTTTAAACAAAATTCAAAATAAAAATAAAAAAAAATTATAAATTCTCTGTCAGACCATGAAGAGCAGAATGCAAAATAGAAATTATCAAATATCACAGTATAAAAGGAAAATAAAGAAGAGAAATTTCTCCCAAAAAAAAACCTCGTTGATATTAAATAACTACTGAAGATTCTGGTGTAATGCCAATATCATTTTTTGCTACAACAACGGTCTCATTTATTTCACAATGAGTTTTTTCACATTTCTTGTAAATACTCTCATACATAATACTGATGAAAGAATGAATCATACCTATACAAGTGCAAAGAAAAGAGTAAATAAACTATCATCTTTATATAGGATGTATTTCATACCTGATGTTGCAAAAACGCCACCAATAATTCCTCCAATTTCAACTAACAAAAACCAATAAGATCTGTTCACTTCTTTGACAGTTATTTTCATTGGCGATATTTCATAACGGACAAATATGCCAGGAATACCATGTGAACCACTATCGTGATTAATCGTTCTACTCTAAATAAACGATAATATTTTATCCTAATTCAACTACAATAACTAAAACATCACATACTCTTTCTGTGACAGCATACTGATATGTTTCCACATTAGCATGTCTTGTTTGAACAACTGTTGGTACAACTTCAATAAAATATTGATAAATTTGATTACCTAAATAAAATGTATTTACACCCCAGTCTATAATCTTCCTCATCAGCAACTTACTCATATTAGATAGTTTTAAATCACCGTTTAACGGTTGAACTAGACCTGGACTCGGCTGTCCAAATGAAAAATGATCAATTCGATGTGAAAAATTCATAGCTAGAAGATAAATAGACTAATAATAAAATACATGCTAAATTAAATACATTTGTTTACCAGAATCGATCCCAAGTGGACTCAAATGTGCATGTGAACCAAATAATGAAAAGGATCTGAAAATAAGCAGTTCCAAGCACCAATAAGAAGCGTAGGTTTAACAATAAGAAGAATAGTTCGTAATAAAAGTTCAGATGGGTAAACAGAAACAAAACTGAATTAACAAGAAAAAGGAAAATTGGTGGAAAAGTGAGAAGGGAACAATGTTTAAAGAAGAATTGTTTAACATCACCAAATTTCTGTGCAATGAATAAAAAAGACATAGATGAAATGGATGGATACATGCTTTCTTTTTCAAAGAACTGTCGAACTTTTAGACCATGAACGTGTAACCGATCAAATTCAAAGTTCTCAGCATCAAATCTAAGTAGCAAAGTGTTTGCTTGATAAGTATAAATCGTAAGAAATAAACGTACTTTCCCATTATAATATGAAAATTGCCGGCAAGTTTATTTACTTCTAATGTTCCATGTAATCGACAGGCATCCTTTGATTGCGTGGGATTTATTTCTCTTTTAGAAGAAAACCAAAAAAATTGAAAATTATATAATTCTTTTATTCATCTGTCATCTAATTACCGTTTTGGTAATTCTTCGTTGTGCGCATTGTAACCGGTCAGCCAGACAATATCATGAATTGCATGATACTGTTTTCTCAATATTTCATTTCCTAATTGCAATTTTTTGAATACCTTCAAATAAAAAGTAAGATAAACAATTGAATAATGTAATTTTTCTCTCGAGAAAATGTTTCAGTTCCTTACTTTTGCTTGTTTGGCAGATAACTGGAACCACGTGTCTTCTTCATCAAGTTTTCCGGCTTCTAAAATTGTCGAGAGAATAAATGCTATTAGTAAAAACTGTTTGTTTTATTGTATTTACATCTATTTTAACACTTTCATCGTGTGTTACCTAGTGGATTACGGTTTGTTACATCCAGAACGTCTGAGCCAATCACTGTAAAAAGAGACAAACAAAAAAATTATTATTATTCATGTAAAACAATGAAACAATTTACATGCACATTGAGTTGCCACTGTTAAATCGATATTAATTTTTAGTTTACTAATAAAAATAAAAAAAAACATCTTAATTTCAAACAGCATGATTAGCATTGTCAACCCCAACCTCTCATGATCCCAATCGACTGAATAATCATATTTTAACAATGTATTTCGAAATGATACTATATGGATAAATATAAGACATAATACAACAGTGGCGGTCAACACCGCAACTAAAAATAAATAAAAACATCAGATTTATCATAAAATATAGAAATATATTTTGAATTAACTTGTTCCTCCAGTTGTTGTTGGCTCTTTTAGATCATTTTCAACTTTAACAAACGCATCACAATCTTTAACAAGTTCAATTGGTGTGATGGGTTTTCGACGTTGTCTCAACATAAAAAATAGATTTTATCTAAAAATAAACAAGTGATTCGAAAAAGATACATTTGAAATCTATTTCTATCTTCTTAACGGAATTAAAGAGAAGCTAAACCATAAAAGATTAATAAATGAATAAATAATTTGGTGTACACTATACGATAAAAAAACATTGTCAGACATAGTTAATGTGAAGTAAAGGAGCCGCGCATCATTCGTACATCTATCTTATTCAACATAACAGTTACAAGAGTAAATACTTCATTTTTCTCAGTGAGATACAGTCAACAAACGACCATTGATACACATTACAATATTACGTAAATTCGAGAAAAATAAATACAAATCGACAACAACAAAACTTAACCTCAAAAAAGAAAGCAAACGTGTGACGAGCAGATCTATGTACACCGCATTTTCGATACGAGTTTTGAGAGGGGGTGGGAAATCTGCTAAATAATTAAACCTTTTTTTGATTTACATCTTTTTTAACTAAAAGTTTATTTCGAGTAGCTGCATATTTGAAAGTAATTGAAGAATGATATTTTTCTTGTCATATTTGTTACAAAACAAGATTCACCAACAGCATCAAGATACAATTTAATTTTTTTTCTAAAAAATGTTTTTAAGTAATTCTGTCCAAACGAGAGGTCGGATTCCCACCCCTTCCTAAAAATGTTACCGATAAAAAATTTATTACCGATTAGACAAGCGGCATCATATCATTCTCTTTCCAGAGTCATATCATAGTACAATCTAGTTCCTTCTACTAACCCGTCAACAACCAAAAAAAGAAACCTATTTCGATGATGTTTATTATTCAGTAAAAGAATTATATATCTCATTCCACATCAGTCACAAGAGCAAATACTTTATTTTTCTCAATATGAGATACATTCAATAAACGACAATCGATAGTTAACATCAGTCGAAAACTATCATCATTACTCTCATCCTTTTTAAAAAATAATAATTCATTTTCATAGCCAGTGACAAATGTATTTTCATTTCTTAATTCACATAATGAAATACATCTTGTATACGGTATATTTTCCACTATTTTTTTAACTTTTGCTGTTCGTATATCCCACATGCAAATATCTGACATTGTTTGATTCTGTTTTGTTACTAATGAAAATAGATAATGTCCATCGGATGAAAATAATAATTTTTCAATAGATATCTTATCATTTGTTTGTATATTTAATATTCGAACTAATTGACCATCATTAATTGACCATAATAAAATTTGACCATCTGATGAACCGGATGCTAAATATTTTCCATTTGAATGAAATTTAACTGTATTTATATCATCGATATGATAAACAAATGTACGTAATGGATATACACGTTCACTTGTCCACAAACGTATCGTTGAATCCATTGAACCTGATGCAAAATAACCACTTGTTTTGTGTGTATCTAAGCACCATACCGGAGATAAATGACTACGATAAATTGTTACTGGTCGATAGGAAGTTGATGATGGATGATTTAATAATTCCCATAATCGAATATCACAATCAGCTGAACATGATAAAATATATTTTTCACCATTGTCATAATAGCATAGATCAGATACAAGTTTTGTGTGACCTAAATCGTGAAAAGTGAAATATGTTTCTTACTTTCGTACAGTAAACCGTACAATACTTGTAAATTTTTACTACTCATTTTATTAGGGTAATCCACCCCTCTTTTTTGAAAAAATTTCGGATTTTGAGCCTAGTGTAGGCTACACAATGAGATCACTCCTAGCATTCCATGACCTTTCTTCAAAAAGTGATGCATTTTTCCTTCAAAGCCTAGAAAACTCAATTTTTTAGTTTCAAAAACTTTTCTCCCCTTTTCTGTACATTCAAAATTTTTTCTTACACATAGTCTAGTAGAAGAAAGTGTTTCCGTCACAATGAGACGCTTTTCAGAATTTTTCGATGAGCTTTTATGAAGATATAAGCTTCGCGGCAAATGCTCTGAAAAAGTAACCTGTGTACAAAATGCGTTTTTCTCGAAGACTATTTTTTTGCTACCGGGCTTCAGTGTCACATTACGACCTCGTTAAATTTCATCTGATAGAGTTAAAAATTTTACCAGAGATATTTTGTTTAAATTTTATTTTAGACCTTTACCGAGTTATAGGGTTTCTAAAATTGAAAAGCTTGGTATTTGAGACGTTTTTCAGTATTTTTCCTATAACTCGACAAGGAAAGGTCTTATAAACAATTTCCAAAAAATACCTGTGCGATGTTACCTTGAGTACCTGTGATAAAATTTTTAACTCGATCGGATGAAATTTGAGAGGGGCCATAATATGACATAATGACAAACCAAGTTTTCTGAGAAACTCGTGAACAGTGATAGTTAAAAACTTGAAACAAAATGAAAAAATGCTTCATTGAGTTTCCAATCAGTTCTTAAAATATGACGCCTTAGTGAGTTTTAATTTTTATTTCACAGCATTTCTACGGAAAGTCCAAAAAGAGGGGAGGAATACCCTTAAATAAATCCACTTTTAATAAATATGTGAAGAGATTACCTAATAATTCGGTTTTGATTGTTTGATGTTCTTGTTCATCTGTATTTTTATTATATGAAATATTTTTTATATTGTAGATTTTACCAGTATCAGTACCGCACAATATTTGTTTTTGATCATTGTCTATACAAGAAGAACAGAACCATTCATTATTGAAACTTTTCAGATGATAAATCGATACAGTTGGATGAAAATGATCAACGTTCATCGAGAAAAATATCAGATGATGATGATCATCAACACAAATTTTAATAAATTGTATCAATTTATTTAATACTACTAAAAATATAAAGAAAAATTAGCTACTAACAGCGTTTACGTTGGTTGAAAAGTTCATTCTGAAGTATGGAATTTAATGTCTCTGATTCGTTTCAAAAATCAAAAGACAACAATTTTCAAAGACTCTTAGCGATCAATGTTTATATAAATTATTGAGCAGATTTCACTACCGCTTCACTCACGGTATTTAAGGTCTCGGGTTCAAGTAGGAAACTAAGGTTTGAAATGTTGGACCTTTTCTCTGACAGCGCTAATAAAATATGAACTATTGGAAATTATCGAATTTGTACCAAACAGTCAGTGGCGGTACGAGGGGGAGGGGCTGGGCGGATGTACAACCTTCTCCTTTTAGAAATTTTGATAGAAATTTTTTTTGAGAGATTTTTGGAACTACAGATCCTATGCTTGAATCTCTTCGCGTCCACTGTAAACATTCTAACACAATAATATGATCAAAACATAACGTGCAGTGCATCCAAATCTCCTACTTTCTATAGGCCTAAGGACCGACCGAAGAACAATCTTATAGATTTAACAGTGAGCTAAAGGAAATTTCGATGTTAGTACAATTACTCATTGTGTCCTTATGTTTCTGCCAGTTCACTGAATAAATCGCATAGCGACCACAGATATGGCCAAAATTTAGAAAACAATTCTCATGTTTTGAAGCATAAATCAAACATAAACAAGAAGAGCAAGCTATCTGAACGATTTTCAATTAGAGAAAAATTGCATAGTAAAAAAACTCTGACTTTTTTCATGTATACTCTTAATTAGAGAATCAGAAAATATATCTATTTAAAACAAACAAACAGATAGGAAAAGTGAACAACAGAAAATGCAGTTTTATCCTAACATTAGACTATAGGACAGCAGACAATGGAAAAAGAACTAACTCTTCAAAACATATATTGATGTAGTGAAGTTTTTTGCTTTTAATTTTTAACGTTTACCGATTCTGAAGAAGATGTTTGGGTATAAGACGAGGTTTTTGTATTCTGATCTATATTTTGGTGTTGTTTATCTTCTGAATCATCTTTGTTGTGTGGTTCTTGATGACTCAATATATTCCTTGACATATCCCTTGGTTTCACAATGATTATTGTCACACTTAATAAACTTTTCGGCTAAATTTGAACATGATAAAACATGTTTGGAATTATTAACATAGCAGTTTTCAACATCATTTCGCGTTAATTCGCAAACAGGTACATAGGAATATTTAGAAAAAAATTTTTCTAATTTTTCAATCGATTTTCTTCTGTTAAACTATATTTTTCTAAATTTTGATTTTAATGCGCAATTAATTTTTGTTTATATTCATCACGTAAACGTTTTAATTCACCATCGTTGATGTTCGATGACAATGCTCATGTTTCTACTGTACCAGGTGTTTCGATCGTGGGTAATGGTGAAAGATTAGCAGAACTATTGTGATGACTACCGTCAGTTACTTGTTGATTATTATTTGTTGATACGACATGGGAACGTCTTTTCTATCCGACGATTGCAATTGTTGTAAGGCGGCTTCCGTTAGGAGTAACGGATTTTCAAATGTGACATTGCCTAGCGACCCTTTTGTAGATGCTATGCCCATTATTTTATCTAAAAATACAAACAATAGGCAATATATTGTGATTCGATCAAATTTCTACTGAATTGCAATTGCAAAAAGTTCATCCATTTTACCGTACTTTTGACACCAATGCTTAATTATTCCTCAAACCTCTATGCAAAGAAACTTCTTCGATGTTTCCATTGCACTTGGGTTTTTTTGTTTGTGGAGTACGACAGTAACATACCTTAAAATTTTCTTGATTTCCTTCGATAGAGATGCGAAAATCATAGTTAAAACAAAGAAGAAATGACCGAGGCTTAATTAACTTAGTACAGTGAATATACAAAAAATTGCTAAGAAGGATTTAAAATAAGAGTGAGACAAAAACTTTCATCAATAAGTTTTCGCCTCTTCGATTATCAATGACTCCGAAAGGGACAAAAGCAGAAAACAGTATCACACAAGGATTTAGGGGAGTGGCGATGCTGGCACCAACCGGTACCGAAATTTTTGATTTGCTACTTCTTCTTAGTTCGTGAGATACACTATAGTTACTCTTTAGTACATATCCGCTACCACCAAAAGTTTGTTCTAGATCCGACACTCAGCGACGTACCCAGGATTCCAGTAAGAGGTGGGCCAAACCTTTTTTTGACCAACGAAAAAAGTTCTTGTGTAGTATTTTTATTTCAACCAAAATGTGTTTTTCTGTTTTCAATTAACGAAAATGAAGATCCACCTCTGGTCTAGTGCTGGGTACATCGCTGCCGACACTGTCAAACAATCTTCCACTATACATTGTAATTAGCGTTTTTCTTCCCGTAGTCTAAAAATCGCAGATATTTACAAACAGAACTCTTGAAAATTCTCTGATCCCGTTCTTCGTGTGAAAAAACTTTTTAGTCCTCTTTTTAACGAGATAGAGAACGAAAGCTTTCTATCCAGAGGATCGTATTACAAAAAGTCTTAAGTCAGACTTAGGCCTAAACCGAGGCTTAAGTCACAGTTAAGTCCACATCTGAAATTCAAACCGTATTACAAAAAATTTAAGTCAAAGGGCTTAAGTCAAAGAGGACTTACGATTTTATTTTTATTTGACAACAAAAAGATAGCTAAGAAAACAATAATAGAATGTTGCAGGAATAACAGAAAAGCGCGAGGAGCCCTTATGATTACTGTTACCCCCCCCAAAAAAAGAAAAAGAAGTAGATGTAAATTTATATTTCCAAGAAATCCTTTAGCTTTTGCTTAAATGACCTAATTAATGCTGCAGTCACAACTTCATCAGGTAACCCATTCCACTCTATTGCCGTGCGATGAAAGAAGGAGTACATTGTCGTGTACGTCCGTAGATTGTCATTAACATGTACAACTTGAGAATGGTTTAACCTGTCAGATCGCCTGTTTGTGTTTAATTGAATTAGATTTATGTGTGACAAAATGGAATGATTATTTAAAATTTTGTAGAAATGAAGTAAACGGAAGTATTTTCTTCTTTTATATAATCAGGTAACTTAAGCTTTAATCAGGACTTAAGTCATCGGACATGTAGTGTTAAAGTTGAGAACGAAAACTTAAGTCATTGACGCATTTTTTGAATAGCTCGGGCATTTAATGATACGATTCGACGAAACTTTTAAAGAAGGTTTCCCAGACTTAAGTTGGTCTTAAACTTAGACTTAAATCATGGCTTAAGTCGATGAGTTATGGTTTCTTTTGCAATACGATCCCCAGGTGGTGTAGAAAAGCAAGGGAAAAAGGAAGAAAAAATGCATTGTTTATATAAACAATGCATATTTTCCTTATTTTCTACACCACCTCTATCCATATCCAATTCTAAGAATTTTCTGACATCATTCTATGTCATTTTCCACAAGTGTCTTTTTGATTGAGCAGTTTTATAGCCAATTGGAGATGTTGTTTTTCAAGACTATTAATAAAAAAATAAGAAATAATAAAAATATAAATGCATCAATAAAAAATGTAAAAGAAAATTTCTGTGCATTACAATAAATTCCTTTTCGAAACACTCAACAGTTATCTCGCGTTTATTTAGCGTTGTCTTTACCTTTAATTTTGTCGTCCTCTTTCCTGTATGATCTGTTTCAGACCGTTTATCATAATATAAAATCTGTAAAAACGAAATTAAAGGTCTTCTTTTATACGATGATTTATTTCAGTTGGACGGAGAATCTTGTCTTTAGAATAATGTTGCATTAAGTGGACCAAACTTCTCCATTGGCAGATGCTGATCACTTAATGAAATATTTGAAGAGCTATTTGTGCCATTCACTGTCAAAATGGAACGGTACAACTTCATTGTAAATATTCATAATCATTTTTACTACATGTATTGAGAAAGAGGAAGCGACGTGTAAAGCTGTGTTCCGGACCTTATAAATTTAAAAAAGTGAAATTTGTAAAGAAATAAGTTTTAAAAATTTAAATTTGTTTTTATAAAATTCAAAATTCAATTTTCATTAAATTTAAAATCGATATTTGTGATCAGCGCAAAAAGCTGCGTCTAGTGATGTGCTTTTAAAGACGATCTAAAAAAAACAAGCTACCGGAAACTTCAACACTAAAGGAGACTGTTACTTGTCCAGGCGGTTATCTGTTGCTAGATATAAAAAATTCTGTTAGAGAACAAAATAAAGTGTAAACAGTAAAAGCATAGCGTTTCGCGAAATACAAATTAACAACTCAGTTGTAGTAAAAAACAAGATCTGGGAACTTCAGTCCCTTCAGCCGAAATGACTGCTTTTCTAGAGTGGGAAAAATCTTGATTCACTCAAAGCATTCGTTTGATCAACAGAAACGTTATGATCGCACTTTTTCTGCAAACTTTTATGACGATTAACATCAACCAATTCATCAATCAAGCATGTTTTCAATGTTCATTTAACTGCTTCCGCCCCTTCTTCTGTTATAATGCGATATCCTATAGCAAGACTTGCTAACGTTTTGTTCACCTTCACTTCTTTTTCAATTGCGTTGTTCCAATCTTCGAATATATTGTCACTGCTAATATCAAGACTTGCTAATGTTCTGTTAATTTCCAACCCTTCTTCAATTGCCTTCGCTCCTTCGGCCGATATACTGTTACTTCTAATATTAGGACTTGCTAGTATTGTATTTCATCTTTAATGCTTCTGCAACTGCTTTGGCCCCTTCGTCCGATATACTGTTACTGTACATAAGAAGCCCGGGTCGACGATCACGCCTAAGTCGCGATCACTATAAACTCATGGCTGTCGCGTCGCGATCGCTATAAAGTCACCTTATCATGTCGTGATCTTGGTAAACTCATGTTTTTTAGAAAAAATATTTTGTAGGAGTCCAATTGCGATTTCATAGTCACAGCGCGATCGCTATATGCTCGCGAAATCATGGTGTGAACGCTACACACTCGCGATCTCGCGGCAGGACTCTAAATCTGCATCGATTCCATTCTTACGAATTCAGTATAGTTTTTCTTAGCGCAATTACTATCATATTGCTATTTCGCGACGCGACTCATGCCGACAGTAATTGCGGCTATTGCAGGACAATCTAGCTGAGTTTTAAAAAGTCGCGACGCGACTCACGTCACGGAATTTTATTGGTGGATATAGTTAGTACTTTTTGAATTGCAAGAACGGAAAAGAACTCTTTTTCTCTTATTTCAAAGGCCACGTTCACACTACAAATTTTTCAGAGTTAACTCGAAGTTAACTTCGAGATCGTTCACACTTAAATCTTTAACACACCAATAAGATTATATAAGAGTATATACTATGTGTCTATAGACACGTGTGTCATTGAAGATATGTGTTTTTGTTATTCTCATTTTAAAGATATACAAAAAAAAGTGTCCATTATATACAAGACACTTCATATTTCTTAGCATAGTGTGCAGGCTATATTTACACTCGACTGTTTTGCAGTTTATATGTGCTTTTTTCACTTTTTCAAGAGGGAAGCGCATGAAAAAAGCTAGTCGCGCTGATTTTTTAATAAAACGTGGGACTCACGAAACGACTTCGTGAGTTACATCGGAAGAATAAGAACTCACGTCCAAATATTGGGAAAATGATTGCTAATATTGAATTTACTGTGAATGCTTCTGCAACTGCTTTGGCCCCTTCATCCGATATAGTGTTACTTCTAATATTAAGACTTGCTAGTGTTGTGTTTACCTTTAATGCTCCTGCAACTGCTCTCGTCGCTTCGTCCGATATAATGCTACTTTGCTTTAGCCCCTTCATTCGATATACTGTTACTTCTAATATTAAGACTTGCTAATGTTGAATTTACTGTCAATGCTTGTGGAACTGCTTTGAACCCTTCTGTTAATATACAGTTACCTTCCATATCAAGACTTACTAATGTTGAATTTACTGTCAATGCTTCTGCAACTGCTTTGGCCCCTTCATCCGATATAGTGTTACTTCTAATATTAAGACGTGCTAGTGTTGTGTTCACCTTTAATGCTTCTGCAACTGCTTTGAACGCTTCTGTCAATATACAGTTACCTTCCATATCAAGACTTGCTAATGTTGAATTTACTGTCAATGCTTCTGCAACTGCTTTGGCCCCTTCACCTGATATACTGTTATATTCAATATTAAGACTTGCTAATGTTGTGTTTGCCTTCAATGCTTCTGCAACTGCTTTGGCCCCTTCATCCGATATAGTGTTACTTCTAATATTAAGACTTGCTAGTGTTGTGTTTACCTTTAATGCTCCTGCAACTGCTCTCGTCGCTTCGTCCGATATAATGCTACTTTGCTTTAGCCCCTTCATTCGATATACTGTTACTTCTAATATTAAGACTTGCTAATGTTGAATTTACTGTCAATGCTTGTGGAACTGCTTTGAACCCTTCTGTTAATATACAGTTACCTTCCATATCAAGACTTACTAATGTTGAATTTACTGTCAATGCTTCTGCAACTGCTTTGGCCCCTTCATCCGATATAGTGTTACTTCTAATATTAAGACGTGCTAGTGTTGTGTTCACCTTTAATGCTTCTGCAACTGCTTTGAACGCTTCTGTCAATATACAGTTACCTTCCATATCAAGACTTGCTAATGTTGAATTTACTGTCAATGCTTCTGCAACTGCTTTGGCCCCTTCATCCGATATACTGTTAAAGCTAATATCAAGACTTGCTAATGTTGAAAATATGTATAAAAATATATTATATTGTGCCTATTCAACCATACAGTTTTATCTGCAATCAGTGAAAAATGGATTTGATTTCAAAATAAAAGTGAGAGCAGTTGCTGTTTTATGGTTCACGAGTGAATATTACCGATAAGGTGACTCGATTGTTTTCCGAGTAACTCAAAAACGATACAAGATAGAGACCTGCGATTTCAGTAATCAAACGTGGACAGTTTAATCTACATTTTCAGAAACGTTTTTGAAAAAAGTCGACCAGTTTTTCAGTGAATCTGTCAAGAACTAGCTTTCTGAGAGAGAAAAGAGACAAAAAAATATTTTTGTATTAGATATAGTCGATATGCCTACATTACTAGTTGTTGTGATGGCGATACTCCAAATGAATATTATGATGCGCTTACTCAACCGTACATGGTGATGATGCTTATTTCTCAAATCCATTTTTCACTGATTGCAGATAAAACTGTATGGTTGAATAGGCACAATATAATATATTTTTATACGTATTTTATTAAGTTCACTGAAGAAGACTTCAGTTTAAAAGAGGTCGAAACGTTCGATTGTCTTATATATTTTTGTTTTAAATATTTTTAAATTGTTTTAAAATAAAATACGAAATCAAAGTATCCCCCTTTTAATCAAAACTGTAGAAAGATTGTACGAGAGTCATTTAAGAATAACGTTTTATAAAATATTTATTGAAAAAATCGGCTGTGGGTACATCGTCATTCGCACTTGTATCATCGAGCTGAACTGTAGTCGAAAGATCATTCTCTAATTATATGATCTCGCTAGTAATTGGCTGCTTGAATGAATAAATGGATTTGTGTGGATAATGTTCAGAAACCGTTCTCCAAACAATATTATACGTTCTCTTTTCAGCTATAAAAAGTACGTTTCTGAAAATCTAGGCTAAACTATCCACTTTTGATTAGTGAAATCGCAGGTCTTGTATCGTTTTTGAGTTACTCGGAAAACAATCAAGTGCCTTATATTTTAACGCCAAGCTTAGAATGTCGCTGCTAATATTTATTTTTCGAACTGTCACTTATAAGAAAAACATGGTCTATAGATATCTCACATGGAAAAATCTAGGCAGTGGTGACATGAAGATCTAGACCTACATCACGTAATGAATTGTATAACTGTACAACATACTCGCGATGATGTATTTCATTATCTTTCAATAAAATATAAGCAGTAAACACGGTCAGTTATAAAATTCAACGCAGTCTAAGGTTATACCGAGACGCGATTGGAAAATAGTCGATAGATTTACAAATAATGATATGTTACGCGAATTTATCACAAGTAATTCAGTATCAAAATTTCGATCAGAACAAGTCTTGCATGATATAAAATTATCTTATCGATGTTCATCATACAACCTCAACAAGTATCTCCTGCTCAAATATCTAGTTTATTAAACTATTATCGTTCGCTGACTCGTCCATTTATTTAGAATTTCGAAAATTCATGATGACTCAGGATATTCACTACATATGAATCATACGATTTCAATTCAGCTATAAAAACTAGAAACTATCCGTTCTGAAAACTGCGAATCGTTCTCCAAAAGTGAAAAACTGTTTTCTTCTAAATCCTTGTCCACATCTCCACATTAACAGATGAAAACTAACTGTAATTAAACAAACAAATAAATGCTTATCATGTTTAGTAATTCTGTAGCACATTCTTTTGAGCAAGGAACAGTTATCCCATCTAGTGCCCTAAACAAGCAATAGCCAGAAATATTTTGTTTTTTTCCAACGGTTTCATCACAAATGTATCGTATACAGCGGAAGATGGAAAACTGTAGAAAGATTGTGCGAGAGTCATTTAAGAAAAAAGTTTTATAAAATATTTATTGAAAAAATCGGCTGTGGGAACATCGTCATTCGCACTTGTATCATCGAGCTGAACTGTAGTCGAAAGATCATTCTCTTTCCTCTCGCCCAGTTGTTACTATTCCAGAAGACTTGCGAAGATTTAAAATTGTTCGCCAACTTACTAAAATATTTTTCTTGCAACGTTTCAGCTCTTTATAGTACACGAGAAAGTTCAGTCAGTAGAAATGCTTTATTTACTTTTTGATATATACATTTTTCTACCATGTCTCACAACTGTAGCTTTAGCTATAGTTCGAGCCCAATCATGCATTTAGTAAAACCGATCTTTTAAAAACGCTTCTCAGTCAAGAAATGCATAGCTTTGTTCGCAGTACTTCTCTATCAGCAGTTCATCAGATCGATGTGGTTCCTTCGGACTTTATGTTTGTTATATTATATAGATTTTCTGATCTATGGTCCGGCAGATATTTTGGAAACAGTGCCTTTTTATTGCATTTATGATAAAATAGCTGCACCATCATACCCATTCACGAAGAGAAGTACCAAATTTGAGTAGACCACCGACGTCGAAAAGGCATACAATGAAATCAAACGTCGTCTTACAATACCACCTCTATTGTTAAGGTTCGCCAATTTTTCGCCGAACGCGCGACATGATCGTGACAAGAATAAAGCGCGAATGTAACTAGGGTTATGGGATGACGCAAGTGGTATTGTAAGACGACGTTTGATTTCATTGTATGCCTTTTCGACGTCGGTGGTCCACTCAAATTTGGCATTTTCTTCGTGAATAGGTAGAATGGTGCAGCTATTTTAGAAAAAACTTTGATATGATCTCGATAATAATTGGCTGCCTGAATGAATAAATAGATTTGTTTGGATGATGTTGGAAATACACCATCGCGAGTATGTTGTATAGTTATATAATTCATTACGTGATGTAAGTCTAGATCTAATTCCTCTCTAGTTATTGTACTTTAAACTACATGCTTTTATTTAATTTTGTCAAAAAAATTCAGAAACCATTCTCCAAACAATGTTATACGTTCTCTTTTCAGCTATAAAAAGTACGTTTCTGAAAATCTAGGCTAAACTATCCACTTTTGATTAGTGAAATCAGCAGGTCTTGTATCGTTTTTGAGTTACTCGGAAAACAATCGAGTGTCTTATATTTTAACGCCAAACTTAGAATGTCGCTGCTAATATTTATTTTTCGAACTGTCACTTGTAAGAAGAACACGGTCTACAGATATCTCACATGAAAAAAAGAAGTAAAAAGGATGATGAAATCCCTAGTCGAGACTCCCGGCCAAAGTCCCGCGGGAGTCCCTGAAAAAGTATCGTATGAGTCCCGCGGGACTCGCGTCACGGGTATACAAGAGCTTTTGCTTGAGCCATAGTTCAAATGAAATTTTGTTGCTGTTAAGCAAGATTTTCCAACATGATGGATGAAGTACAGTATGCATTTTTCCATAGGTCAGACGAACATTTGCTATAGAAGCAGTCCGAAAGTCTATAAACACTTTTTTTATAGGTTTTCAGATGTGTTCTTTCCAATGGTGTGTTTTACGAAGTTGAAAAGAGGCTTTCATCTGGGTTCTCCAGAGATCGGGTCTTTAGAAAATCCACACATAAATATTCTGGAACTTTATAAAGTACATCATTGGAAAGAGCATATCTGAAAACCTATAAAAATAGAGCATATCTGAAAAACCTCAAAAACTAGTGGTTTTTGGAAAACATACAACTCAGGACAGAAAACTTTTCGCTTCTTTGCGCTAACTGTGTGCACGCGTCCTATATAGCTCAACATGTCCTGAAAGTTTCATCTAAATTGGAGTTTCGCTTTTCTTCGCGCATGTACTTTACTGAATACACCTCTTTGGAAACTCGCTAATAAAATGTACCATAACCCTGTTCCGTCTTGAAAACTTGTAAACTAGAAATTTTTTTAGCAATCGATAGAGTATTTGACAAAGATTAACAATATATATTTGTTTGTTTGACCGCTTACCTTACTTTTGCGTTTAATTCAGGTTTCCGACAGTGCCTCTTTTTTTAGCGTAATTTTTGTCTATATGATTTTTCCAACATAAGTATGCCCTAAGAAAAAAAAATTTTCGTCATCGAATAGAGCGTAGTCCAAAGTATATAAATCACTATTTGAATCACCGAAAAGTGCATTTTCGATTTTTCACCAAAAGTCCGCCTGAATGCACACTGTGTGAAGATCGAAGTTGATTTTAATTTCAGTTGTTCCTGTATTGGTAGCGAATACTGTCAGATATCGACGGTACTATATGTAGTAAGTAATACGAATGTTATTGTTGTATAGGTACTGTTAAATGAGCATAATTTTCCAAATATCTGATTTTTATTCCCGTAACACGTTTAATACAGGCAAATTTACAATCTTTTATTCAGGTTGAATAATTCTGTTTAAAAGGGAGTGATGGTGGGTGCCACAAGTAGATGAAATGACATTTGATTACAATACGATTGCAGTGACGTAATTGATAAAATTACGCTGACAGTAGATGAAGATGCGAGCCAAGATGACTGCAACGATGGAGTAAGATCGATAAATAAAACTTGTGGTCTGTAAATTATGATGCAGCAAAAGATTTTGAGATCGTTATCAAAGTTGTTGCCAATGAATATATTTGTTTGAATTTAATAAAAGTTTGTGGCCAGCTTCGAAAGTTTTGTGATAAATAAACGTTTTCATTAATCAAACCTGTATTACTCAAATGATCAGCCAGAACGTTTTGTATTAATTATCAGTGGACATTTTGTAATTGTCCCTCGCGCAATTAACACATCATTTAATTAGTGTTAGCTTGTGTAGTGATCTAGTTTATAACAACATTAATATTGCAATATACAACATGGTGTGAGATGAGGTTTGACATTGACATCCATGTCAGCTGTATAATACGTCTGTTGGAGACAAGACTCATATTTACGAAACAATCAGAATTCAACTCGATACCTTTGTTTCTTTCATGTGTTGACACAGATACACTAATTATGTTCACTAATTGTATTACTTTCGTCTTTCTCGTTTCTTACCGATACGAAGAGAAACGCTTCTTGGCCTTCGACAACAACCTAGAATCAAATGATGATGTGTTGACAAAAAGAGATAACGAGCAGAAGTTGATTTTCGAAAAGATGGTTCGAGAGACAATTGGTTTCGATGCTTCGATTATATTGAAAAATCGAAACAAAGAGATCAAAAGGAACAAGTTAATAATCCAACCACATTATTTTCAAATATAGTTTCAACTTTGCTTATTCAGAATTATTACCAAAACGTATTTGCAGAAATGAATTGTCACTATGCGGGAGTAAAACAGACGAAAAAGTTTTTATCTTTATGTATAGTACTCATACTGAGAAATTCATCATCCGATTACAGAATTTTCTCATTAGCTTGTTTTTGTACTAAAGAGATCCAAACGATCACATTTAACTACAATTGAGAGAAATTATTATCGACGCTTCAAACAAAAATATTGGAAAGAAAAAGTACTGGAATGAATCATGATATTTGTACAGATTTTCGATTGCATCTCACATGAAATCACGAATGAAATACATGTTTTGTGACGTTCCTTTGCCGTGATTTTGAATTTAAATGGTGAAAGCATAGTATTATTGAGATGTCAGTTTTATGTTTTGGTTGTATTATAAAGTTGGCAGCTTTTCTCACAAACCTTTGTGCTAATAGGTGTCAGTTTACTTCTGTTATAAGAAGTTTGTGTTGTATTGCAGGGATGCTTATACAGTTCTTATTCTTGTGAAAACGAAAAAATATACTATACCTATTTGTTATTGTATTTCAGGTGACCGATGGTATTCAACGAGATTAAGTAGGCATCAAAAATAAAATTGTATGCAAGCAAGTATCATCTGTACCATTAAGTTAGAATGTTGTAATATATTTGTTACTAATAAATCACTAAAGTCAATATGTCAAGGAATGGTTAAACAAGACGTAATTGATAATAATAAAGATACGGCGGAATGTAGTATAAAATTTAGATCAGACGCTATTGTTATTGCCATTCGCCTTTCGTGAATTTAGTTTCTCCCGACACAGATCTTAATATTATTTCTCGATATTTCAAGAATTATTTCATTTGTTATTTCATTAATATCTATTAAATTAACCGAACATACGTATACAGACACTTCTAACCTTTGACAACTTATTACAAATTTCATCAAATTACCTATTTTGAGTCTTGTTGCGTCTATGATATCCAGAAAGAAAAATATTCTAGACCAACTTTATTGCTTCTAAGTGATAACGATTTTCTCCGTTTTTTTATATATTAACTTTTTCGTCTAATCATAATAACAGAAAAACCCTCAGAAAAGTGGTCTCAGTGGAACAATATAAAAAACAATGTAATCTAACATAAATTGTAGAATCATCTGACAAATCTTTTAAACAAAAACAAAGAAAAAAACGTGAAACAAAAAGTTGTTGTTTGGTGACATAAAACTAAACTGACAGATACACACTGAGAAAAAAAGACTATTGTTGGTCAGATATTCTATATCTGATATAGAGCTTTGTTTGAAGAACCTTTTTTACGAGTTTCTTGTTTATGAAGCTGAAATAAAGTAGACAATCATTGTTAGAGAGATATAAGAACATAAGGCAAAATAACTAACTGTTTTATCGGTACTATGTGTTAAAGGAAATATTGTAAAATTACCACTTACCTCAAACAGAATATGTACATTTCGTGGAATGTTTATTAATTCACGCATTCGACGTCTAGGAATACATTAAAAAACAAAAAGTTAATCGTAAAAATAATAGAAAACTACTCTGGAGATACATACCCTATACGATGAATTAGTTGTTCATCGTGAGCCGTTTGAGTCCATAATGCAATACGATCACAATTTTTTCTTGCTGATAACACAACACCGTTAACATATGATGTATCTTTTGCATATTGTCCACCTACTAAAGCTAACATCTAAAACCAAAAGAGTAACAAATAATCACTGAAAAACTATAACCTTTTTTCTTACCGAAGCTAACCAGCATACGTCTAAATCGATTAAAATTTGTTCACTTTTCGAAAAATAGAGTACCCATCTGCCACCATTGGTATTTGCTGGATCTTCCCAACATGGTAAAATTGTACTTTTAAACAGCATATAATCGCAGCCCGGATAAATTCTTGTTGCAACACGTAAATGATTGTAAAGTCTTAATATAATCAAACAAACAAGCGAGGTAAGATATAGTCAAATGAGAGATAATGTTGTTCACTCACGCCCAAAATTCTTCGACAGAGCCAAATGTAGCAATTTTCATTAAATTATCTTGCCAGTCTTTATTTGCTTGATTTTTCAAATACCAAAATGACCATTGATCTTCTAAAGGATGTTTCATTTCTAATTTATTCATTAAAATGCTTGGAGTTGTCGTTTGAGAATCGGCGGACGATGAAGATGATGATAACAGTGGATTTTTGCTTTGTTCTATTTCTTGTCCTTCATCATCATGTTCCATACTAATATTCGATATTGATAAATGAATATTTTTCTCATCACATTTTCCTTCATTGGGCAGAAGAATATCGTTCATTATTGATACAGTACTTGTGAATATCTAAACCGTTAAAACGCTCAATCAAACTTTCACAACAGAGAAAATACAAAATAAATCTTTGCGGGGAACTTCTACTCTGATAAAAGAAAAATATTGGTACAAGCTCCATTATTCAGAGAATTCATCTTATTACTACGTAAATGTGCACTAAAAATTCTTAGCAAATAATCTACAGATTTTGGTTTTCATTCCAAATACAGTACTTTATTACAACACATGTTAAAAAGTCAGGGTTTTAGTAATTGATAACCGTTAAAAAGATAACTTCAGTAGATGATTACTCATTGCCACGTCAAAAAGCGCACCTAATATCAGACTAATGAAATCTTAGGATATTGACATAATTTTTAAGTCGAGAATTGACACGAAAAAACCTTAAAAATCGTTCTCAATTCTGATCATCAACTGAAAGCAGTGTTTTAACGGCCATCGGTCCGTAATTATCTTTCATCGAATCACTGACTCACTCACTGCAACGTACCAAGAAGAAAAGGATTCTATCATATTGTGTCCTTTGTTACTCGGACAAAAGAGCGCCGGATAATAATGTTCGAACTCATCCAATTTTCCATGCCGAAAAAAGTTTATTAGTCCTATGCACTAGAGTATTTAAGGATTTTGCTGCGAAAATAGTGTTTTGGAAAGAAGAAGAAAGACCAACAAAGAGGTCGCTCCAAGTTGTGATTTGTATTCACTCAGACATAAAGATATCTTATTATTCAGAAAAGGCTGATTTTCTCAAATCCGTTGTTTTCTGGGCGTAAGCCTGAATTAAGAGTGTGGTGGCACGACGTTTCGCCTAATGGATACGACTACTAATTTTCGGGTTATATGAGTCGCTACGAGGACGAGATAAGTTGGACATAACAGTTAAATGGAAAACTCTACAATCAACGTGAAAATGAAAAAACTCCGTTGGTTGCAGAGTTTTTTGCGTCTAACTTATATTGAGCGCCTTGCAGTGGCAAATCTAGAAAATTGTTTTGGGAGGCGCGTATTTTCAGAAACTAATCAGTATGTAGGATTTTTAGAGAGCCGTTTGAAACGATTAACTCTTTTTAAACCAGAAGAAGCACTACGAAATAAAAATTCTGCTGAATAGTGCTCCACTCCCACCTCCATCGTAAATCTGTCACTGTCGTTATGCAAAGATAATGAAATATGTTAAAGAGAAAATTGTGACAATCAACGCCAGAATCAAAAATTGCGTTGTTTGTAGGGTCTTGCTATTAACTTTGACTTCGGAAATAACTGAACCGCATCTTTGCAAATTGCAACTCTTTCTCTGCATAGTACGCTTTCTAAACCAAGATTTTTTAGTAAGGTGTTCTCATCGATGGAAGTGATAATAAAATACTTGCTTCTCTTTTGTTTAGACATTTGTGTAAAATGCTTTTTTCTATAGAAGAATATTAATTGTCTTGACTCTTTTTGTTGTTTGATTTATCTAAGCTTATGATTATGGAACTCAGTACCTATTTTGTATTTCATTATGAAACTTCTTAGTGTCTTGATAGTTGCGTCGAAAGAAATGTATTTCGACTAAATTATCGAGCTAAACTGGTCCATTTCTGACGGTGTGTATGAAACATTATTAGTCTGATCAGATATCTGTAGACATAAAATAAAATGGAAGCACAATGCTGACAAAATGAAAACCTACAAGTAATTTCTTATTCCTATTCATTTTTATTCAACTGTTTTAGATTTGTTTATGTTTCGTTTTTATATAAATTGTCATTTATGGCGTCCGACAATAGATGAATGGTTATGTAGTGTCCGATGTGTGCCGAATAGCGAAATACAACGTATTGATCGTTTTGTTTTTCAACGTGATGCTAAATTTGCTTTAGCTGGACAATTATTGATACGTTATGTTTTATCAAAAGCGTATAAAAGGCAAAGATATCCATTTACTATTGAGCGTAGTGGAAAAGGTCGTCCCTATATAAAAGAACTGAATGGTGAATTTGATTTTAATTTATCTCATCATGGCCAATTGGTAGCAATTGGTGCAACATTCGATGGACATATTGGCTGTGATACAATTGAATATTCTTCTTCTCCAGCTATCACCACAGAAAACCGATCAGCTGAATATCGGACACGTTTATTTCAAAAAAAATTTACTGAAAATGAACAAAAATTTATCTTGAATGATCAAAATGAACATGTACGTCGTAAAACTTTCCATCGTCTATGGTGCTTGAAAGAAAGCTATGTGAAAATGTTCGGTCAAGGTATCGGTTTTGAATTGTTACGTTTAGATTTCAATGTTAAATCGTTATTTAATGAGAGTGATCGCAATCAAATATTATCGGATACAATTGTGTCAATTGATAACAAACCGTCTACACACAATGTAAGATTTGATGAACAAATCATTTATTTCAATAATAATCAGCAACAGATAATAACCTTGTGTCTAACACCAACAAATCCCATAGAAAAATTTGTCGAATTAAATATGAGCGATGTTATTAAAACTTGTATACCAGTACGTGACACGACTGATAAACAATTATGGGATAGTTATATGAAAAAACGAACATCTTAGATAGTAGTTAGTAAGTAAGCTAAAACTGAATAGAATAAAACTATTTGTCTCTTTATGTTTAGTACCATGATAGAAGCTCGAAACTGAATTTTTATACAGCTAGAAAAGAAATGTAACTTGATAGATAAGCATGTGAAAAGAAATGTATGTTTCGACCGGTAATCGAATACGGTATTTCTAAGACATGGTTAAAACTAAAGTATTCATTCAACTGTAAGTTTAAGGAAAATAGGTAAGCCGAGTAAAACTTTTAAATGTACAAACACTTTCACGACTCCTCTGATTAGCGAAACAAAAAAAAGAATTTATTTTTGATTTATGCTTATCTAGTATTGACATTAATTAAAATTAGAACATCAATGTTAGAAGATAATTCCAAATCGGCCAAGACTAACTAAGAATCTTTTGTAAAACATAGATTCCAGGACAAAAATGAAGACTGAGCACCCTATATTTGAATTTTACAAATTTTGGATTAACTCTACAATATTTAATACGCGAAAATATGTGACTAGACAACGTTCGGTTATTGTAAATCAAATACTATTGTAATATGAGCGATAAGTATGGCTGATACCTTTTCTCTTAATTCTCCAGTGGGTATAGGTGCCGTCTTGTTGTCTCACCGATATAACCTTAACTTGGCAAGCATTAATCGACAACAAGTGATTTTTTTCATTAAATACAGAACCCAGGAAAGTTTGTACGTATAAAGTGATCAAAAGGATAGATAAGTCTTATTTGACTTATCTATCTAAAACTTCCTTAAACTTACATTTAAAATTTCACCATTTTAATACCGTTTTTACCTTCATCCTTCTACCTTTTCGTTCTTTCTTACTTAATTCTCGAATCCAGGAACCACTGGTAATAGGCCAGGAGATCTAATCATTGAGCTACTGATGCAAAATCTAATATATACCCTCGTTTCACTTTAATGAATGATTTAGCTAACTAAGATGTCGAATACTAGAAATTCCTGGGTTCACTTCTCCGGTCGAGACATACATTTCTTCTCATGAATTTATCTATCAAATTATGTCTCTTTGCTAGTTGTGTAAAATCTCAACTTCTAGTTTCATCTAGAAGCCCTGTTTCACCATTTATCTATTTAACAATAATAGAGTTGCAATACTCGATAAACGAACTGATGTGTACTTGGTACATACCAATGATGATGAATATGGACGTTGAATTATCGAGATAAAACGACGAATGTTCAGGCTCTTAAAGAGAATAATTAGTAGAAGCTACTTGTTCAACTAGTCATTGTTTTGTTTTTGTGCGTCAAAATGAATATTGGGTATAGGATATTGTTTAAACTCAACAGTTAAAGTGCATATTACTCATAAAGATCAGAAGTAAGTAAATTTCTCACTTAAAGTGAGTGCGAGTACATAACTGTATCTTCTCGATAGAATCGATAAGATTTATCGAGTAAGAGATTGATAATTTTGTTTATTATTTGTTAGGAATCGCATTAAATACGAACTTGTAAGCAATAACTGTATTCTTATCGCTAATGTTTTGGCCAATGTATTTGGTTCTCTATAAAAAAAGAATTTTTTTCATATTTGTAATATTTTTCACAATTTATTATGAAACTAGATCAAACTTTTGAAAATTTAGTTTATTTTTTATGTGTAGATCTGTTGTGATAAATGATAATTAATTTCGGCAAATTGTCAGATTAAAACCTTGCTGCTTTAAGGTTGTTTTTGTTTAACATAAGGTTATTATTTAAAAACCATTGGATAAAGTCTATATGTGAATAAACGATACACTTTTCGAAATACATATTTTTTTAAGAGTCTTGGAATGTTTAACATCTTTATTAAACTTTCTTACGGAATCGTATCTGCGGTAGATTTTATGTTATTCTTCAAGTGCGATTATTTTCTGCTCTTTTGTTTTATAAAAGTTTACTTATTATTCGTAATTTCAACCTATAAGTTTACTGTGATGCTAATTTTGATCAATATTTTTTTTTTGCTAACTGCAGTTACGTTTACTTTTCTAGTTATCACACTACAAACTCAGATCTCCATGAAAAAATTAAATAGTACATTTTGATCTTTTTTGGGCTCTGTTGTTGTATAGATCATCAACAGTGATCAGTATTCAGAATTTTCTTCTCAATTTTATATTAATCAAAAAATTAAAACGATGAATAACATTAAAAAAAAGAAACATCATATCAATGAACAAAAAAATATAGAAATTAATTTTTTCAGTTGTTTTTTGAAACACAGTATAGTGAAAATTGTGTTGAAGATATCACGTGCATGAATCTTTTGTTTGTTTAACGTACGTGTCTTACGTTACTCTATTGTGCATTGACGCTGTCTGCTCAATAATAAAAACTTCACGGAAATAATTATTCAAATGGAAAATTAAGCCTTTTCAGTTTAAATAATTTTATTTGCAATCTTATTTATTATTATCATAAACTTTGTTATCAAAGAATTGTATTTTATTCACTATATTTAACAAATACGAACTTTCATTTGAAAGATTTTAACTATAGACGTGCCAAAATTTAGCATTTTCCATAATGTTTTAAGTTAAGGATTTCTCATGCCAATACAGTCGATTTTGATGTGTAAGCAGCAAACACTTTCTCTATGTGATGCTAATTCTAAAAATCAAATTATTATCAGCAATCAGAATGATAAAATAAATCTATTTGCATATTCTACTGAAAAACATTAATCTATCGAAGCTTTTGATATTGAAGACATGTACAGTTCAAATGTACCTAACTTCTGGCTAAATTAATTCGAAAATAAAGTTCCCATAAAATAAAATATTTCTCGAAAGAACGAGCAAAGTGTAGTTGACTAACAGTCATATTAGTTTGTTTTTCGTTGAATACCATAAACTGCATAAGTTCAGCAAAGAGTAAGCCGTCAAGAAATATGTGGTATAATTTTAACGTTATACATGTTGATAGCTTCCATTAATATTTTTACACAGACTGATTTATTTCTTAGTAATAAATGTGTAACATAGCGTTAGTCATCTCCGATTTACTGTGATATGCTTCGAGGAAATGAATTGCGTTTTAAAAAGCTTTAAATGAAAAAATGCTTCGAGTCTACTGTATAACGATTTTAAAACTTAATTTTCAAGAGTCTAAATGACTAACAGTAATGTAAAGATTCTGAGATTGCTCTGGTCATTATCACTTGATTTTGGATATTGATATAATTCTATTATCATGTTTTTCTCCTTTTCAGAAAAAATTTCCATTTTTCCATTATGATCAATTATTAACATCAAGTTTAATTGACAGCAACAGCAGTAGCTTAGTGTGAATAATTGCTATTTTTTCTCTCTTTTAACAACAAAAACTATGTCAACAAATTCTTCGTTTATCATTCGTCTACAAAATTTGCCAAACGAAGGACGAGCGCAAGATATTCGTAAATTTTTTACCGGTTTAGTAATTCCTGATGGTGGCGTTCATGTGGTTTGTATTGTCTAACATTAGTAAATTCGTCAAACGTATTTTTCATCTTCACCTTGTTTTAGGTTGGCGGAGAAAAGGGCGATGCATTTATTGCATTCAATACTGATGAGGATGCTCGGCAAGCAATGATGAGAAAGGGATCAATATTAAATAATCCAATTAAACTTTTTCTCAGTAGTCGTTCGGAAATGTCAGACATAGTAGCAAAAGCAAGAATACAGACTACAGGATTGATAAAAAAGTTGTCAGAAAGTACAGCAATAACAACAAGTGCATCATCAAACTTTCATTCATCGTAAGTTGTTTATCTATAATATGATAATTGAATTGATATATATTAAAAGTTAGTATTATTTTTTAGGTATTATCCAAATTTTTCAAACACAAAATCTACGCCTAACACCACGAATACATCTGCATCAAATGAAATGACCAGTAATACTGCACAATCGTCATCGTCGAATAATCTAGCTAATGAACTAGCAGCTATTTTATCTGCATTACAGTCACATCAGCAACCACCACCTCTTTTAGACACGTCCAATGCAAAACCAGTCACTACATTTCTACATCAACAACAAGGTAATGCAGTGCCTTCATTCGTAGCACAAAGTGGCGTTGGTAACAGTAATCAAGATGGATCAGTACCAAATATTCAAGCATTATTACAACTTTTCCAGGAAAAGCAATTACAAACATCGCAACAACAGCGCCAATCAGCAATGCCATTCCATCCACCATTTAGTAGTCAAATGGCTCCTCATCAGCGATTCGTTCATCCAGTGCAACAACAACAGCAACAATCAAATGGTGGATGGACTGCTCAATCAGGGTCAGTTCTGACAAACACTTACAATCATCATCCTAATGTTGCTTCACTCTATCAACAATCACAACAACAGCTGATGTCTCAACAACGATCTCTTCCCTTGTTACCGGATGACAATGCTAATCATCATATGGTGTTAAATAGCCATAGTTCAGAATCGACAACAGCTGGTTCGAATTCATTGTCATCTCTCTACGGTCCATCATCACCAACAATCAAACAACAATCACAACCACTTGATGAACCGTATGTTAAGATAAAAAATATCCCCTTAGCATTCACCTATTCTGATATCAAAATGTTTTTCAATAAATATAAATTGAATTTGGATGATATTAAAATTATAAATGATCAAAATGGGCAACGAACGGGTGAAATTGTGTTACGTTTACATTCGATTAATGATGTTAATGAATTATTGAATTTAAACGGCCGACTACAATGTAACAATCATTACTTAGATATTAAAAAAATTGACGAATACACATTTGCTAGTTCAGTTGATTCTTTTATACCCGCAGCATTGTCGAAAAAACGAGCATTAATACCAAGGAATTGTGTTAAAGTTTTACATTTACATCCAAAATGGGATAAAAGAGAGATAAAACGATACTTCAATGGGTGTAATGTGACGCGAGATCGAAACGGTGGTATATTTTTTGAATTAGATAATAATGCAATGAATCGTGGACCAACATACATTGAATTTGAACATGAAATTGATGTGGAAAAAGCAATGTTCTATAACAGTGAAGTTGTTGTGGGTAAGACTTATTTCAGCGGTCAAATTCTTTGTGAGAAGCAGCATCAGAGTGAATATGCTCTTGGATATTTGACATAAATTCTCTTTGACTTGAAACAGTCACAGAGATTTCTTGATATCTCCGTATGATCCCAGAAAATGAGCACGATCACTCTGACAAAAGTAGAGAATATTATAGAGAAGTATGTTGTTTAGTGCTTTTCGTAAGAGTATGCCGACACTCTTTTGCGACTGTAGATAGACATAGGGACATGAAGGTTATTTCATCCGTTTCAGGTGATTCAAAAATTGAAGTTTATCGTATGACGAAATCAGAAATGGAAACTGAAATAAATAATTTAAATCGTCGTGATCGTCGACGACCACCCTTACTAACTCATGATGGAGAACCGAATCATTCATCTCCATTAGTATTACACTCACCTACTCATCGTTCAAATGAAGCACGTTATACTCGCCCTAATAGTCATTATTCAAATAATTCAAATAATTATCAACAGCAACAGATTGATCATTCGTCTGGACAACATCAACAAAATAATTATCAACCATTTTTATTTAATCAACAACAAGATCAATCATCTATCACGTGTTTACGTTTAAGCAATATTCCTTATACAACAACTGAAAAACAAATACGCGATTATTTTCAAAGTATCAATATTAATATTGAAAGTTGCAAATTTTTAAACGATAAATTTGGACGTCAAGCTGGTGAAGCATTTGTACGTTTTCATGATACGCAGTCATGTCAACGAGCGTATGAAAAAAAACAACGACAAATTTTTAATGGAAATTGTCTTGATATTCGACCACTGACATTAATGGAATTTAATCAAAATCCATTACCATTGTCAATGAATGAGATCAGAGATCAAACATCGCGTTTATCAAATAATATGCAACAACAACAACAAAAACGGCCATACTATGAGGAACGTAGAAGACCGTACGATGATCAGCAGAAACGACCACGTTTCAACAATGGTAATCATTCTCACGATGATCAACGACATACGTCATCTCCTATCCAAAATTCGAATGATTTAAATTCAAAAATAGATTACTCACAACGAGCAGCTCCGATTCGTCATAATAATGGATCATCTGATCCCAATCATTTATCAAATTTACCGCCATTACCCGAACATATGGAAATTTATCGTGGACGTATATTATATTTATCAAATGTTGCCTATCGTGCAACACGAGAAGAAATATTGGATCTATTAAAACCATTTAATCCCATTGAAGAAACACTAAAAATTCGCTGTGATAGTAATGGAAAACCAACGGGTTTTGCGGTTGTGGCTTGTGCCGAACCACATGATGCACAAAATGCTGTATCAAATTTGAACAATCAAACATTTATGTTTCGAAAAATTTATTTAGCACAAAAATAAAGAAAGATTTGAAACATTTAATTTAATTTTATTCATTGAAAAACTTATCCATATTAAACATTCATTTTTCGTACGTCATTGTTGAACGGAGAAAACAATCATATACTTATTTAAGCAATAATCAACATATATACTATCAACAAATAATCAAAGTCTTAAAAATATTGGCACATTGCTCGCGCAGGCGATATATTTCCTGAAAACATTGTTAAAGATTTTTCTGTTTCTTTCTGTCAAGCTTTATGTTCATTTTCAAGAGTTAACGAACAGATTGTGGAGAGTGCTTGTTTATTGTACATATAGAGAAAATGTTGACTTTCTGTTTTTGTTGTTGTTTCTCAAGTAAGTTGGAAACAGTTAAAGTTTTTTTGAACGACGTTTTTTAGCTAACGATATACATTGAGTGTTTTCTTCTTGTTAAAGAAAAAAATTGAACAGTAGACTCATGTGTATTTCATCCCCGTCCCAAAGGAAAAAGTGATCTTCAGCAACTATCCGTCCATTTATCTGGTGTCTTTCAAAAAGAAACAAATGATATCTCGACATAAGTAACGAGTATTCATCATTTAAAACAGTTTTGTTTTATTTATTCTTTCTCTCAGGCCATTTACTTTTTTCTGCTGAAAACTGTGAGATTTACATACACATTCCAGGGTATTGATGTGGGGTGCTTGTTATGTGCTACATTTTGTTTTTCTTCGACTAAACAAAGACAAGATAAATTCATGAAACATTGATGTTGATGTTTCTTTTTTTTGTTACAATTTGAATATTTCATTTATTTGTTGTTTTTTTTGAGTATTATGATGTGTGGGTGAATGTGCAGTTTATTTGTATTTTTTTTTCTTTTTCTGCTATATTTTGTTTTGTACATCCATCTTATTCAAAAACTAAACTAATACAGACTCAATAAAAACAACAGTGCAGATGGAACAATGTAAAACTTCTGAATTTTCATTGTAGAGTATTGAGTATGATGACTGATTCAATAAATCTCTTTTCTTTTAACAACCATTTCTGATAAGAGACGACAGACGATGTTTAAACATATATCACAGATCTCAATTCAACAAGCTATGAATCAAAATATAGACTTTTCTGAGTAAAATGACGCTTTTCGATTGAAAAAAATATTGTTTCATTGCTGAGATATAAGCATTTGAAAAAATCGATCAAATCTAAAAAAGCGCCATGTTCGGTAATGGAGACTTTCAGTTTGTTATATCTTCGTAAATACGCAAGATTAAGAGGTGAAATTTTTTTCACAAAATATAATTCACATTCCACTTTAATCTAAAGAAAATCTAATCTTGCGGAATGGTCTCGTTCCCATTTCTCGCTTAACATCGTGTTTTAGACTAGTATTTCCCGATTTTTCGTATGAGAATCGGATTACATTGCAAAATAAACTCGATATTCGTGAATAGTGTAAAAAAATTGAATGGAATGATATAACTTTTAATATCTTGTAAAAATACTTTCTTTCACGAACTAAAATACTTGACTACCATCTGTCTCATATCTATCCATTGTTATTTATCAACGTGTTTTGTTTAATTAGTCCAGTCGAGTTTTTAGTAGAAAACAGAGCCATTACACTAATTTTTTTGCTTTCTGAATAACTCAGTTGACGAATGTCATTCATACTCATATACGACAAGTTCATAAAGTTTAGTCATTATTATACATTAGATACATGTTTGATAAAAAAGAGATTGAATTACGTTTAAGATTACACTGACTTTATTCTTGAACATGATAGATTCTAACTTGACTTCAAACGGACTTGATAGAAAAACTTTCGAGTCCAAGTCCGGACTCATCTCTCATTTGGTTAAATATAGAGCCATTGATCTAAAAAACGTACACTACTTCTATTTTACCACTAATACTACGCTAGTAAGTAGAAAAAGCAGTATAAAAATGTTCTAAGGATGTGATACATAAACTTTTCTCGGATCGATGAAAGAAAAACTAATTCTAATAATCATATCTCAGCAACGAAACAATATTTTTTCAATCAAAAAGCGTCATTTTACTCAGAAAAGTTTATATTTTGATTCATAGTTTGTTTGACTGAGATGTATAACATATGTTTGAGTACCGTCTGAAATGGCTGTTAAATAAACGTAGCAATGTGTTTTAATATTAAAAAGTAAAAATTTTTATAAAAAATAAATAAAAAAGAATAACAACAAATTTTAACGAAGAGCTAAAAAAACAACAGCTTTTTGTTTATAAAAAAGTTATGATTAAACTTAAAACTAACAAATCTGAGGTAGAAACAACAGAAAATAACTGTATTGTTATTAACATGATTTAAAAAGATTAGAACCAGTCATTTTTAGGCTATCAAAGGATGAACGATAGTTGCGTCTATAGCCGTAATTGAAAAAGACAAGTAAATTATATAACAATTTGTATTTAAGTAAAAAGAGAAGAACAGTGATATACGCTTAGTTTAAATCATTAGACTTTATGTTTTTGAACCCTAGATGGTGGATGAGTTCAGCGCCCTTTTTAAACAAAAAATTGAAAGAAAAATTATTGTTCATCACTGTTATAGACATCAGAACAAAAAACTTGATAGACTTGAAGAAAAAATGAGTCGCTATACTTTTATCTGTAGCACTAAGCATCTAAGCATTTCTAGTAAATGAATTCTCAAAAGAGAAAACCAACACATTTGGTCAAAATATTTATTCTCTATATTATTTCTTTTCATCCTTATATATAAGAAATACAAAACATTGTAGCTATTAATAAAACAAAGCGTAGTTCGTGAAAGCATGCATGAGAAAATTAAACGAGATGCAATTAAGAGATATTAGTAAAACAAATCAAATTCTCTAAAATGTTAATATCAAACATCATGAGACATTTCTGTTATTTTTGTCTGATATTTTAATGATTTTGCTCTTGCCCTATTCGTTTTATCCATATTGTTCTGTTGTGTATGATTTGATGTGATTTTTAATCTATTGCTATTTTTGAGAGTATCTGTTGGTAGTGTTGGTACAATAGTTATTTTATCGTCAAAAGCTCTACGCGTTTCATTGTTGATCCTAATCATATCTTTATTATTTGAAAGATGATTTTTTGGTTTACGCTGAATAATATTTATTTGATCATCAGAAGATAACTTTTCTTTTTCAAAAACATCATCATCATAATCGCTACTTTGTTCATCATCGATTGCCTTATTTTTTGGCTTTGGGATGTTTGATCGAACATGATTGGAAGTCATTTTTGAGCTAGGTGAGAGCTTCTTCAACACCTGATTATCTTCTTTTTCGTCCTTTTTCTTACTTTTACTTTTAATATTTGTTGGCCTCATTTCAATATCATTTGTTTCATTATCAGGCAGTGTTTGTTGTTCCATTTTGCTAGATTTCTTTATCATTATTGCCATTTGTTCTAGTACTTCTTCATCAGTAATCGTATCACTTTCGGATTTTTTTAGAATATGATTTGGCTTCTTTTTAACTTGCTTTGGTCTAGGAACAGCTTCATCACTGGTGTCAGATTCCGTTGACGCTTTTAATGTTTCTTTATTAGGTTTTTTTTTCACTACATGATTTTGATCATTACGTTTTTTATCTGGCTGTTTTTGATTTGTCATAATCATTGTTTCATAATCATCTTCATTTGAATCTTGTGTTAGCGTAGATGATGATGATTGTCCTTGAAGTAAGATCCTAATTGATTTATTAATTTCTTCATCTGTACTCATTAATAATTCGTCATCATGTACGTTCAATACTTCAAAATGTTTACATGTTAAATAAAATAATATTTTACTTAAAACTATCCATGAATTTCGTTCAAATATAAAAAATGCGAGACATTCAAGTATAATATTTGATATTCTTAGAATAAAACATATTTTTAATACAATTATAAATACATGTTTTGTTGATTGTACCCTTGTTAGAATACCATTAAACGTTGATACAAAATAATATGGAAATGCGAAAAAAAAATTTAATAATAAAAATATTGTAACAAGTAATGTAGTTCGATACTGACTTTGAGCAATCAAATTTTTTCTCTGTTTATTTTTACAACATGATGGTAAAAACATATTGAATCCGATTCCAGCTATCATTGGTTTGATGACAAGTATGATAAATAAGATGATGAATATTGTTTTAGATATTGAAGATATATCTCCATCGATCGAACAACGGTATTGAGGTTTTTCAAAACGTTTAGTAATACCATCGATTAATGGTGACGCAACATTAGCTATCGTATCTTTAATAATGGACTTAAAATACTTTTTAATAGAAATAAACGCAATCAATAATATACTAGATATTACCCATATGATGATAAGAATAAGTTGAACGATAGATGGGTTTGTAAATATTTTTAAACATGGAAAACTAATATTAAAATGTATTAACAAACGTTCTAGCGATAAAAATAATAGTGACAATTGAATTATGGGAATTATTACATAAATACCTGAAATATAGATAAAGTTGTTGTATTGTATGTCACTATTTTTCTAATTGTAGGATTTTTGAGTAAAGAAATTATGTTGAAAGTGAAAATTAGTATACATACCATAATTTGCTATATCACAAAGACTTGATCCTAATGTAAACTCTTTGTTAGCATTAATCCATGCTAATAGTACAAAAATAAGATAGAGTAATTCACAAATAAATATATGTATAAATATCATACTGGTACTGGCATAATCAGCATTCTTTTTTTTTGATATGATAACAATGATAATCGATAGTAAAATGCACAAGAATGCAATTATCCATAAACATATTAATCCTGTCATTAGATAATAATCATATTCTGTCTGTGGTACAAATAGTGAATCGTAGAAGCCAGTTTTGTTGGAAGATAAATCAATTTTAGTATTGATAATTGTTTCTGTTTTATTTTTGATCTTTTCAAATGATTGTGAGATGTGTGAAATAGGAGATCGATGGTAATGAGATATATTATTCAAATTATTAGAAAAATTGTGACGTAAAAGTGATGTAATATTGTACTCAACAACCTTTTCTTTAACTCGACTGAAAGGTAATTTCATACGTTCACGGAATGATACTTTTTCGTTAGACATTATTATTTATGAATATGGGATGATATTCATTAATATAATCATAATTCTGAAATGACAATAACGTTTGTTAGTAATTATCACGTTTGTAATGAGAAAAGCAACAAATGTCCATATGGAATTTAAAGGAGTCAACTTAGTTGTCAGTAAGATGAGCTAAATGTAAATAATCTTATGGTTCATTTTGATCCGTTTAGAATAATGAACTTTGAAATCTTTCCTACTAATTCTTCAAGGCTTGTGACAAATATCAAATTTTTAGTACAAGGACCCTGAGAAACGGGCAAAATCTCACATTACAAGTGGCGAACGATTACTAACCACATCATATTTGAATAGCTGAAGATCAATACATTGTAGGATGATTTTTGATGCTTTACACGATGAGCAAGTCAAATTTTCTTTAAGTGCATATCATATATAAAGTGAAAGGAGCTATAAATCTCTAGAAAAATAAGATTACAATCGTGCAATGCAAGTTTCGAATGTATTGCATAAGTTGAGAACAGAAAGTTTCCCATTACAGAAGTCGATATTACAAAATCAACATTTACAAAACGGCATAGATGGGAGTTGATGAAAATAATGATTCATGCATACAAGAAACATATGGCTTTGAGAACTAACTATCTCTTTATATTGAGAACGTGAACTATCTTGTATAAATAGCATCCTAATCCATCAGAACAATCATCTTGTGAATAAACGACTTTTTTCGTTGTTGTTGTTGTTTCTTTTTACTATTCTTTTTCTGTATTGCTTGATACTTACAATAAATCTATAATGAAGATGCTCTTTCTTTCTTCTACTGTATCAGACTTCGCTATTCTTTAGACTAAAAATAGCTTACAAAATACTAAGATCTTTTGAACTTTATCCAGCTTTTGTAACTTATATCAAACAAAACATTTCTAAGAACTCCGATAGAAAGGGCTTACATCTCAGCACTAGTTATGGAATGAGAAAGATACCATGACATCTCGAAAGAGTTACAGATATAAATGTCGTATGTAGATGCAATGCTAAGATAATTCGAATCAATTTCTCGGCATCATCACTCGTGATGTGTGAATCATGAGTTTTACGAAAAACTTCTATTTAACTGTTTGCGAAGTGATATGGAAAACACTGATATTCTTGAAGATCAATGAAATCATATAAAAATACATAAAAGGTTTGATGAACTTGAACGAACTGCAAAATTTAGATTATGTTTTTTCTTTTTTTTATTGTTTGTCTTTGCTTATCTTCTTGTTCAAAACATTATTATACACGAAAAACCTTTTGGAATAAATTTTGATACAAAAGCCACGAACAATTTTGAAAAAATGACATGCTACTGTTCTAACAGTTATGATAAATAAAAGTGGTTAACACTTGACACTAAGTAAAGAATAATACATGCGCAGACGCTAGCTTTTTCGAATTTTAACCAAATTTATTATTTATTTTGAAATGTGGTCTCGAACTCGATAACAATGAGAAAAAAATAGACAAAACAAACGTGGAGTCTCTAGAACTCGTTCCTCAAACATCCGAATGATCAATATAATACAATTACCTCACTAATTATACCTACTAGCTGAATAACAGTTCGTTTATATGGATTTACCTATTGATATCTTCTACGTAAGATATATACTGAGCTTCCATTTTCTCTTCAGTAAAATTTTTTTCTCTCTCTGTCTCTCTCTCTTTTGCATATTATTTTTTCCTGAAGAGAAAAACATTCAATAATCAAACAATCTGCTACAACTAACCCGAAAAACTTTATCGCGTCAAGGTTTATGCGCCATAAAAAACCAATAGTAAAAAAAATAACATAAAATAGTTATACTTCTAAATTATAGTCAATCTTGTATTATGATATATCATCGTTTATTGAATCTATACATGTATAAGGCATCAGTTCGCCTATTGAAATTTAAACTAATTATAAGTTTATGGGTATCTGTCACGTTCGTGATATAAAGACGAAGAAAAAAAAGGTGACCGTCAAAAAATGGCGTCTGTGTGTTTTTTCAAGTGAGCCTTTTGATAATGATAGTCACCATTTTGACTGTTTATCCTTGTGGTGAACTAATCGTCTATAAAAGAAATCAACTATTCTCTCAATCTGTAAAGTACAATTTAAATATTGATTTAATTGTCATCGTTACTTTACATAACAAAACAAAACTTTTTACCTAAAAAAAAATGAAAAAACAAAGAAAAGAAGAAAAAAAACATTAAAAAAAGTGTTTTGAGTTAATAATTGAACCATATCTTTTGTACAAACTTTTAATATTCTTAATAAAAATTTGATCAAACATATTTGTTTGAAAATTTAGACAAATGATTCAATGTGCATTATATCCTGAAGAACAGCAAAATGCTAATATCACTGTTTCATAGCAAGATTTGTAGACATATGTGTAACACTATTAATTTAAAGAATTGAGATTTGTATCAGTAATATATCAAGTATTTCACGACGCTTAAGAGATAACATAATCTTGTAGTGAGTATCATCTTTAGAAATATTTTTTTATGACTAAAAAAAAGAAATACGAAAAAATTGATATTTTCTCTTTCTTCAATCAACACTACCTTATCGTTATTTGTTGACGATGTTTCAAACTCACACAAATTTATAGTCGTCGAGAGAATAACGCGTACACACACTTAACGTTGTCAAAAAAGAGAAAAATAATAAAAAAAAATTTGATCCATTGATCGGATTATTCATTTACGTATTAAATCAACATTCTAATTTAATTAAAGTAAATAGAAACCATTTGACAAATGTGGTGTGTACGAATAGTTCTTCTCTTTTTCCATTAGTAGGCGCATCTATTATAAAGAAGTATGATCATTTCTCGTAATGATAATTATGACTGCACAATCTATTCGTATGAAAGTGGTAGCGTCACCTTGTTTTTTATGATTAATATCATGTTATATCTAACAATAAAGCCAGATTAGTTGTTTAATCTGTCTATAAAATGATAAGTGAGGATTATTAAGGTTATGTGACACAACTTCAGATAAGCATTCATTTTCTATTAATACTGTCACAAAAGCTGATATTCGATATTGTGAACGTTATACATATGAAGAATAAATCATTAATATTCGTATTACAGCACACACCTAGGTGGACATTAAGCAAAAAAGCGAAAGTGCAAATTTTTCCGATACGACGACAGTAAAATATACAACGATAGATGCTCAAGTTAACAGCATAAAATTTGTTCCAAGTGTCAAGAATCACAAGCATTCACTCATATAGTCAAAAATTAGCTTCAAAACGCATGGTGTTCGATCAAGAAAAGTTTTTCACCGTTCCCACTGCAACTCTAACTAACATGACACCAATTCGGAATCTAGAGTCTCACCTATGTATTAGCAAGAAATTTTTGGTTTTTGACCACGGGAAGAAATCACAATTTTCTGAACATACTAAGTTCCGCTAGAGATGGATCCGTACACAGCTTGTCCGCATAACTCCTATAGCGGATATGTCACAGTGTTACTTTTCTTGCTCATTTTGTATCGACTATAACTCCGAAACTAAAAGTGTAGAGAGTCGGAGACGTTTTAAATTATAGAAAAAACTGTTTTCTGCATTTTGCGATCTGATCAGACTCTAGGAAGCCTATCTTAAAAAAACTGTGGTCTAAATGCTGAGATCTACACCGTTGGTTTCAATTCTCAAAAAGCAGGTCTCAGCATTTGGATTACAGTTTTATGAGGATAGGTTACCTATAGTCTAAACAGATCTTCATCTAGAAAACAGTTTTTTCTTTTAATTTAAACGTCTCCGAACTCTCTACGACTTTTAGCTTCGGAGTTATAGTTAAAACAAAATGAGCAAAAAAAATTAACGCTGTGACATCTCTGCTATACGGGTTACGGGGACAAGCCGTACAGTCGGTTTCCACCGTTTTCAACACGTTCAAAAAAGCTCAAAATTTGATTTCTAGCAAGCACAGTCGAACATTTTTAGGAAAAAATAAGGTCATATTTAGAGTCAGCGCACAGAGTTCCATCGAATCATGTATAACACAAAGTTTTGAATCAAAAAAATATTCATCGAAATTTTTTCTCATGAATCGGGAAGACCGAATTTTCGAAAATAGTGATTTTTTCTGAAAATGTTTATTCTTTCTTGAAAAGCGTTGGAAATGACTAACGAGGAAACATTCCCAGGTGCCCCACTCCGATTTCATTCGTTCATACATCGTTCGATAGGTGGTCTCGAGTAGGTAAAAAGCCTAAAAGGATATCGGCCGATGACTCTTTAAGACTCGGTTTTCTGGAAAACCAGTTTTTCAGAAACC